AAAGCCACCATTGGACGTCTGTCTGCACAAACATGCGAGCTGGTGCGCCAGTGTGGAATGGCATGAGGCACAGGTAACCCCTAACTAACGTCCGAACTTGCAAAACAATGCAGACGAGAAATAAAAGATCTTAAAGAGAGAAGAGCAGCAGTAATGGCCGAATCTGCAGACGCTGGGAAAAGAATTGAAAAAGCCCACCGATCCTTCGTCAATTACAAGACCAAAATGATTGCTCTCCGACCCCCAGACGGAACAGTTACAGCGTCCAGAAAGGCAATAGAGAAAATCATTCACGAATACTGCTCACATCTCTTCGTTAGCCACATCCACCTTCCGTCATATGAAACAAAGAAGGATGGATATTTTGTACCACCGGTTCTCCCTTCCGAAATCCGACATGCCATTTCGTCGGTGGAAAATCGAACAGCACCAGGTCCGGACAGGGTAAGACCAGAACACCTGAAGGGCCTTCCGCCAGTCCACGTAAACACACTGGCTCGGCTCCTCACACGTCACCTATCTGAATGCAAGCTCCCTACTCAGTGGAAGACCAGCAAGGCCGTGTTATTGTTCAAGAAGGGTGACCTGCACATGGGCAGCTATCGCCCACTCTGCTTACTGTATGTCGTCTTCAAACTTTCCATTGGAGTCATCCTAAACATGGTTGACAGAGCACTGGACCAAGAGCAGCCATGTGAGCAAGCAGGGTTTCGAAAAGGATTTAGTACGATGGACCACATCTACACGATAACAAGACTCATTGAAATATCGCGACAGTACAAAAGACCGCTCCGCATCGCCTTCATCGATTTAAAGAAAGTCTTTAACTCAACTGAGATAGAAGCAGTCATGAAAGGCCTTGATAGTCAAGGAGTCCCTACTCAGTACATAAAGATTCTTCGTGAGCTGTACAAAAATTTCACAACCAAGATTTCACCTTCTATGGTACTGAGATATTTGCAAAACACCCGACCGCATGTGTCTGCGGTGGGGAGCGAACGCGCTATTGTCCTTTCCGGGGAGTAACGCGTTCATCACCACACCATGCGGGTCCTTCGTTTCGCCTGTTTCTCAGCTGGTTCCATCGATGTGTTGCCGTCAGCAATCACCCGTCAGTGGGATTGATCTGAGGAGTCCAAATCGGCTACGAACCCAGTTAAGCTGAGGCTGCAGTTTTAACTGTAAATCGTTGCTTAAAAAGGACCGGTCTAGATGATTCGGTAATAGTGACTGAAATACCACCGGACACTCTAAGACCCCAGTTAGTTCATAACCGTTTGTATGAACGTCTATGTAGATAGCAAAATTGCAAAATATTCCTCGACATTAGAGGCGGTGAGTGGATGGGGCGGAGTTCGGGTACGATTTACCTGATTTCTTGTTAAGCGTGAGGGATGAATACGTTGGCGAAATGGGTAGACCACTCTCCATCCGTTTAAAACAACATCTTGTCGGTAAATCTGAATTGAAACAAAATACTCAACTAGGCGCACGTAGGACATGGAGACATAACGAAGAACATTTCGAAGTGAAAGTCACTAAATTCGCACAGGAATCCAAAACATCAACGCGCAAATCCTTTGAAGCGTTTTGAATTCATTCCGAATGTTCAAAAATGATCAACAAGGAGGAGTCTCTTGTGATCACGCGTGACCCAACGCAATACGTCAGGCTGATTTTTCGACCCGAGCCAGGCACATCCCTCGATCATGTAGTACTCTGTGGGACTGGTTTACAGCAAATGACTGGAAGATTTAGAGGGAACAAAACGTCAGGTGTTCAAAAGAAAGTATTTACGATGCGAATGAAAATTTGTTTCGTCTGGTGAGGTTATGATAGTTTTGGCTGAGCAAATTGCGTGTCAATTTGACCGTTCCATGCTCTGAAGAAGCCGGGACCGCCGAAACGTCATTTATTCTATACTAATCAATTTTTTAATAACAACGTTATGCTCGCTCATCAGGAACTGCGAATTATTGATCAACGAATTGACGAGACTAGTAGGAATTTGGGTCTTGAGATATTCTTGATGAATTCCAATAATCGGAAAATGAACCGCAGGAAGGAATGGTTCACTCGCGACCTCAAACAATATCTCAGACTGATATTTTAATATCAGTGAGACACATTACGCTTCTTTGTTAACTCTAAACGGTTGGTCTGCACATAGATTGCTCAGTGGAAGACTCAAAGGAAGCGGATAGTGTGTGGAGCTACGTTGTTTTCGATATGGTTGAAATCTAGGTTTCGTAATTTTTCTGTTATGGTTATGGAGGTATTTTGCTGACTAACCTGACTAACTTAAGGTCAAATTGACCATTCCGGTCACTCTGAAGAAGACGAAATCCACCGAAATGTAAGCTTCTGTGATTAAAGAGTGTAGCAACCACCTAATGTCCACTTACCAAGTGACAGAGAACCATTGAACAATGCCGAAGTTGAAAGAAAGTCGGTTGTGGGAATGAAACACCAGTTTTGAACAACCACACTTACACGCAAATATAGAGACCAAATCCTTTCCAAGTCAAGCTGTATAATCTGATCATGTTCTCAACTCTTCAAATATTTCAGCTATAACTCGTATGAAGTGCTGAGATATTTGCAAAACTCCGGACCACAGGTGTATGCAATGGAGAACGAACACGCGCTGTTGCCCTTACCAGGGAGCAGCGCACTTCACCACCACACCATCCGGATCCTTCGCTTTGCATGTCTCTCAGCTAGTTCTATCGATCTTTTTGCCATCAGCAGATTGTGATTATAACTAAGCCTCAGCTTAACTCGGTTCAATGCCGATATTGGTTCCCCAGATCAATCCCGTTGACGGGTGATTGCTGATGGCAAAAAGATCGATAGAACTAGCTGAGAGACATGCAAAGCGAAGGACCCGGATGGTGTAGCGGTGAAGTGCGCTGCTCCCTGGTAAGGGCAACAGCGCGTGTTCGTTCTCCATTGCATACACCTGTGGTCCGGAGTTTTGCAAATATCTCAGCACTTCATACGAGTTATACTTCACAACATACCCTGCCATTAAGAAGAAAAAGGCAGTAAATAAAAGAGTTAAGATTATTTCAGCTATAGTTTTTTCTGCACGGTCCGTCTGAACACACAATGCGGGACCTTAGCACTTCTCGCATTCGATTCATTTCCTCGTATCCGCTATCCACGAAAGTTTTAGGGTGAATTCTCCCCGGAGTCTTGGAATACCCCGAGTGGAGGATTCCCTTTTGGATTGTAGAGAATGGGTCCTGACAAGCCTGGTACCAATTTCTCCACCCCGAAGAGATGAGGGGATCGGTGATGTCGAAGCGGGTTCGAACTGGCACCGTGCTCTTAGAGATCCTAGATGTGGGTAGTGCAGTTAGAATAACAATCGATTATTATCAATCAAATTAGCGCTTAATTAACTCTTTCGGAAAAAGACATTTTGTAAATTTTTGAGTGCAGAATAGAGCATCCCCTAGCCGATGCTCGAAGAAAAGCACATCTGCCTTGGAGAAACTTTTCATTAATAACAAAATGTGGATCAAATAATCTGTATGCGACAAAAAAAACGGCTGACAAGAAAATGAGTGTGACGTGTGACGCACCGTGACCAGTTGGCTCGGTAGCGCATGTGCCCTTTATGACTTACCTCGTCGATGAGTATTCTAAGAATGAAAAGATGGGAATTCCAAGCCGCAGAAGCGAACTGAACCCACCAGAACACAAATGACAATTACTGGCGCGCACTCGCAGAACTCAATGAAATAGAGGGTGTGTAGTATAATAGAATACCAACTAGTCAAGAAATTTAGTGCTATAAACCAGTACATTTTTTAAAGACTTCTGTTTTAATATCTACCTTTTAAGAATCCAATGTTAAAAGTCAGCATGTGCTAAGCCTGTTCATGTTAAATTTTGTTTGGATGGATACGTAGAAATTGTTGAAGGACCCGTTATTTCCAGATGAAGAAATTCTCAGAGAAGTTTCATGATAAGCGCTAAAACAGCAAAAAACAATATACACTTTAAGACCTGTAATCACAAGAATCTATACCCACGAAGAAACTTGACATAAAGCACAATAAAAAGTGATAGAAGAGCCGCAGCTCTCCATCATTAGTTTGAAGTATTCACATAACTATTGATAAACCCTATTTCGAAGTGAAAAGCCTATAAAAACATGTGTTTTCGGACAGTGGACCATGACCTCACTATGATATCAATGCCTTTCTTTCGAACTCGATTTCCCACTCATACAGCTGTTCATTGGACTGCTCCACGGTCTAAAATGGAAATGAATCAATAGTAACATGTTTGCAGTACCAGCGAACTTCATAAATATACGCAATTTGTATTTTGTATACAAATTAATCTACGTAGCCAATAGAAATCTGGCCAGTACGATCTTCATACCGATCTCCCTGAATTAATCACCTATTCGAGGATAAAAATCCCAACGGTTTACCGCTTCATAGTGGGTGGGAGGTGTTTCTGGGTGTCGGACTGCGATGTACAGCGAGGGATTCATAGCCTGGCATGGTCTCCCAAGCTGAGAAGGAGTCTGGCGTTTCCATCAGGAAGCCACACTAAGACTAAGCCAGTACCAAGATCCACCACCGTCCTGGTATCAAAGTCGCATGGTGGCAAATCTCCCTCTGATCCACAAGGGCTGCGACCACCTGTGGTGGTGATGACCTGGGGCAGACTTTGGCCAGGCTGACCTCGGGATTCCAGTGAACCACAATGGCTTAACCAACAAATCTCCGAAAAATGAAGATTGTGCTGGTGCCCGCACAATCAGTGAGGACGGGCCATTCATGTATCAAGTATTCGAGGATAAAATGCAACTTTCAAATTTGCAGTAGACTTGACTAATACTAACTTGTGAGTCGAACTAGCAGCTATGAATAGTCACTAATTCATTATATTAGTACACCAGAAGTAAGCACATACGAGTAAGTAGAAATTCTCAATGTTTTATATGCTCTTATACCCTTTTTTACAACTCTGTCAGCTTAGTGTTCAAGCGTCCTTTTGTTAAAAATTGGATAAGTACTTAACTGAATAGATTCCGTGTTCTCCATCTGTTCTCCACCTTGAGTGTTGACAGCCGTAGTTATCTTGGATAGTATCTTCTCAAGGGCTACTTTGAAGCCTTTAGAATTCATCACTGGAAACGATGGCGGTGCGTCTCCGGATATCCAGCCATTAATACGGCAATGCAGCCTATGACAAAATGCAGAAAAAAAGAAAAGTAGAGAGTAAGTTTGGAAAGGCATGGCTTTATAACAGGTGTAACAGAAGCAAATACTAACTCCTCAAAATAGTTTAGCACACCAAAAATGGATGAAGAATGCTGATGGGTTTCCCACATACACGGAGAGGTATGTATTCACCCACTTTAGAGTCCTTTGAGGTGACAAGTTCAATATTCCTAGCTACCCATACTGGACTTCCACTAAAAATGCACCGATCTGCAAACTCAGTTGCAGATAAGTTGCACAGTACCAGATTTCACTTCGACTCGCAAAAACTTGTGGTGAAAACGTGGAGCACTGGGATGGGTTTTCTGGAATTTCAAGGATAGATTTTGTCAAATCGGGAGGACACTATTTAGACGGAAAACGTGGTGGTGTAAACACCATCAGATTTTAAATAGACTTCTCCCTTTCTAACTACAGTAACGAAGGAGCCATTTTAACATACCGCGACCAAGATTTCCTAACGAATTCTCTTATCATGTCACTGAACTCAGCTGGAGGTTCGAGATAAATCTGAAACAATCAGTTTATTGTGTAGAGAGTCCACTTAAGTTACTTAAACTAAAAGATTCGTCTGCAATAATTTCTTGGATTATTGAGCTTATACGATGTTGTTATAAAAACATCAATGCATTTGAGAAAAAACAACCTTGTGGAGATATTCCAAAGAATTGATAGCCACTGTTTCATTGTAACGCCGGGACTTGTCACTCATTTCGGTTAGCAGCTTACGGTTCTCATAACCTGCTTCGTTGAAGTATGGTTCCGGCACTAAGATTAACGCTAAAACAAAAACTGTTACTAAGTACAGAGTGCTCAACCTCTAAAATATACTACTATAGAAAAATATTCTTAACCACCCTGAATTGAAAGTAACACTTGGAGTAGGTTAGATTTCTTGGGATTCCAGGTTTCAACACCCTGAAGTGTATTAAATTTACATTGGATGACACCAGAAAGGAATTGCCATACCTGACCAGACCATGTACCAAGTAGGCTTGTGCAAACCTTTCCGTTTTGGTAAAGATTTGGGTTGAGTTGTTCCTTTGAGTATGCCACATAAGTCACCTGAAAATGTATTCTACATACACTGTATTTTTACGAGTGTTACTAAGGACCAACGTTGGGTGGCTTCTCAGGATAATCATAAGGCAGTTGGAACTTGAAAAAGAATGGGGTAGTTTCGAAAGGCGTTCCCATTGGTCCAATGATGAGAACGTGTAGAACATCCAACCTGTACAAGAAATTTCACATACAAATACAATCATGAGAGGAATAGCCAAGTAAGCGAATCTACCTACCTATTTGCGAATGTGTGAACATGGATGTTATCCGGTACGTTCTCAGCTAGCACTTTGTGCTCCCTGAACAAAGTCGTACAGAACTTATTCCCCATCGAAATTTTAGAAACATCGCTAGGAACAGCGTCAACGAGTTCATCAAGCACCTGCAAGTCTAAGCTTACCGTATTGTATTGTATTAGAAATTTGTACATAATTTTGCAACAAGACAACGACCATAATACAAGGACTGGATAAAATTTCTTAGAAAATCGATTGTGAACCAGAGATAGAAACATCACTTGAAAAGTTCCTCCAACAATTCCATTTCGATCACAAACTGTAATTGACGCTGACCTTTCGGGAGTACGAGGATTGCTGTAAAACACAGGTAATTCGTAATAAATTACCAGAATCTGATGTGCGATTGCTACTGAGCAAAATGTGCTTTGTACTCGTTTTTCGTGTTGATAACATATTATTTCAACTGAAGATATAGTGGTTGAAGACCTAACACGCCCCAAGACAACATGCAATTACTTTAATACACGCGTGCCCGAAAACATTCGCCCTCAGAGCTCTAAACAAACATATCTCAACTTGTACTGAACTTTAGTAATTGGAACGAAAATCACTAGAACCCATAAGTCTTGACATTTAGCACTTTTTTACTTCTCAGTGATAAAAATCTCCATATTTCGAACACTAAAGCGATTGAATAGCGCAGATCTCGCTGAACCACACACTAAGAAATCATCGTTGTTTTTGCAGCTACCGCGATAACGTTATAGGTTTCATTAAAAAACTCGGCAGTGGTTAAAAATCGGGAATTATTGCGAATATGTTAAGGAACTAGGATTTCACATCAAGAAAACTAGAAAGTTTTTACGACCACAGTTGGATTACGGGCTTTATTCTCAGTAATAATATTCACCTCTGCACCTCACTTATCACAGCTGCTTACAACCGTTAAACCAAAGTGATAAGTCGAAAGACCGACCTTCAACTGACCTCAGCATTAACAATCAACCTATATTACCCTACGAAATGTCTTTAAAGAGCTGGCAAGAAGTCAAGAAAACATGTAGAGTTTTGGTGGCTAATGTTTCGGCAACTAGGCTCTCAGGTGAGCCTGGAAGCACTGTTACATAGCATTAACGTTACCATTAGTAAATGAAAAAAACAACGATATGTACATGAAATAAAAGAATACCTATGCGAAAAATTTAAGGCATGATGAAGTACCCTTCTAAGCAAAGACAAAACACAAATATACGACGGGATGACTTTGAAATTACAATCACGATAGTCGGAATAAAAACATTGTTGCGAAGAACTCTCCTAGCATTCTGGATAAGTTTCAAAAATCCAAAACAAATCCTCACTATGACACGTGATGTAGCACTTTATCTCAGATTAGGTTTTTGATCCTAGTTAATTTAATTTATCGTCTTATGGGAGTCATATAGGCGTGTGTGGCGCAGTGGTCGGTGGCACACTGCAATACAAACGGGATCACTACCCGCGCCCGTGGCCCATCAAGCCTTCCATCCTTCCAGGGTTGGCAAATTGGTACCAGACTTGTCTGGGAGGATAGCAGCACTGGCTCGATACTTCGGTAGGCCACAGCGAGGCATTGTAAAAGCCAGATATGCGTTCAATCACCTCCAACGATACTTAATGAAGCCCAATGCCCGGCGCATCCCTCAGAAACTGACCAACGCCGAGAGTTTTATCCTTTCATTTATAGGCGTTATACACTGGTGACGTCACAATTTGAAAAATCAAAACGGTCGTTACTGTATTAACATATTTCTAGGTTTCGATCAAAGTTTCAATAACACATTACACTTTCATTAACACTAAAGAGTATTTACCGAATATAAAAATTCAACTATGCAAAAATGCAATGTCTAGCTCCGAGAAAGTGCGATGTCGGTGAAACACTAGCCGGTTAAATATCAATGAAAAGTGTTAACTACATCGTGCCAGCTCATCAAGAAATGTTCGTAGGATAACATAGAATAACAACGATAGTTTTTTTCTCACATTAGAAAAAGGCAAGAAAATAACAGAACATACCAGGAATTCTCACAGGTGCTCTCGACTTCCTTAAATTTCTCTTGAAATGCGTACGTTACCTATAAACGTTTCCCGTCCAACATGAACTAGGAAGAAAGCAGAATATTTAGAAGCTTATTCTATTTCATCTACGTTTAACAACCAACGAAGATTTGTCAATGATATAAGTGACAAATAAAACCACCTAAATGGTTATGAGGCATAATTATACCCATTATTGAGAATACAATCACTGTACAACAAAAATGTTGAAGAAATTGCTATAACTACAGAAACTATTCACTGTTAGGAAACGTTACGATACTTACTTCATCATAGACTGTTTCGAAAGAGTACGCTTGACAGAAGTCCATTAGCCGTTGAAGCAAAGTCGGATTAAGGAAGTCCACAGATCGCCTGTTGCGAAGAAAAATACGCCCAGGTGACTTCACGAGACATATATAGGAACATACACAAATATAATGATCTCATGTAAAGTTGTATACTTCACTTGTACCGGTGGCTCGTAAACGTCGGAGAAAAAGAAGTCTAGCTGTAAAAAGAATTTCTCCAGAGAAAATGAGTAAACCGGTTATTTTCACGCTCTATTTCTTGAGAACGTTTTATAGAACGTCTAAATTCTGTTTTATAATACGGATAACTAATCTTGGAGATACCGTGTAAAGTGAGAAAAGCACAAGTTTTCTTGAAGTTTACGTGACTTTTAACATAACTGTTATAACTGGACATCGCGGTGACCAGCTAAAGGACTTTGAGTGACATGATTCACCAGGACTACGAATGCCACGGTGTTCAGAAACGAAAGAAAAGAAAACCCTCCATTTCACAATGCACTTAAAGCAGCCTGGCATATGTCATAATCAAAATTTTCACAAAAAGGAATGGAAACGTCCACACACACAGTTGCAATTCCGAAACAACAACCTAAGTAATTAAGGGCCTCTAATTAAACCAACTAATCTATTTCGTCAATATAAGTACCGACGATTAGTGGTAAAGCAAAGCTTTATACTCACGTCCTTCCAAATACAGTTCCCATCGATTGTTGTGTGGAAAAGTATACCAAATCTCTTTAAAAGCGCCAGCGCAGCCGCAAACGTTTTGTTGATCTTTGAAAAAGTCTTTCAATACAGTAGTGTTTTCTAATTGAACAAAAAAAGAGAGGCAACTGACTGCTGAAGGGACAGTTGCGTTTGATATCCATTCTGGTATGTTCAGAAATTTAATTTCTTTGTTGACAATCAGATTAACGTTCTCCACGGGCCAACTTTCATATTCGAGAATCTGTGCCATGAGCGTTGCTGTGAGCGACGTACGATCAATTCCTTTTATCATTTGTCGAGTCGAAGCCTTCAGAATCAAGGTGATTCGTTGCTGCTGAAAACACGTAGAACTCTTCACGTCTGCAACGGGAACGGGACATTCGCAATAAAAAAACAATGAAGAAAATCTTCACATATAACATTCAACCTTCACACGACTAATGACTAAGACTGCTTAACAGTAGGTTGAATTCTTCACAGCACAAGTCGTCAATTTTTATCTACTGCCTAATATTTTTCAAAGACATGGAATTATGTAAAATATAGCCATAAGCAGAACTCCGGACCGCTGGTGTCTGCGGTAGGGACCAAACGCTATTTTTATTTCCGGGGACTAACGTGTTCACCACCACATCATACGAATCTTTCGTTTCGCCTTCCTCTCAGCCGTTTAATTGAACTATAGATGTTATCAACAATCACCCATCAACGAGATTGATATGAGGGGCACAAATCGGCATCGGAGCCAGTTGAGCTGAAGCTGTGGTATAAAAGACGAAACGAAGGACTCGTATGGTGTGGTGGTGAACGCACTAGCCCCCGGAAAGGGCAATAGCGTGTTCGGTCCACACCGCAGACACCAGAGGTCCAGAGTTTTGCAAATATCTCTGGATCATTATGGCTATATGTATACGGTTCATTCAGCTTCTAAACATAACTGCTCATCTCTTATTGTACTCTTCGCACCAAATTTGGTTTCTTAACGCGTTCAAGTGTATAATTCTGTGGCTTCTTCATACCCTATATGTTCTTTTAAACATTTCTTAGTGACAAAGACTCCGAATTATTGCGAGTGGTAAGGAAATTCCGTTCATCACCAAATCACTCTTCATTAGTCTTTAGAAGAAACACTGAAATATGGAAATATCCGTGTCTTCATAAATGTCCAGCGCCCTAACGAAAGTCCTCAAGCTGAACCTATAAGCAAAAAAAAAACTCAGAGATCATTGTCGGTGGTGAGAGGAAACGACCTGGATGCGAGAAGTGCTGGTATTTGTACAATGGGATACATATGACATTGTGTCATGTAGTAAAATAAGAATCGCCGCGATTAGAAGTAAAATAACAAGCAAATTTACTGGTCAAAAACTGGATATCATAGACCGGAACTATGTCTGCTAGGAACGCAGCGAGTTTCATTTTTGACTGAATGATAATCAAGGGTGAACAGATGGAACCTTTTGTGCTACCAATTCATAGAAAAAGCTGAAATGCAACAGAGGCGAATTCTGTGGCAATGAGCTACGATAGATGACGATTGTGCGTTATCAAAAAATGTGGTGTCACATTCGCACTGGATTTTCATTGAGAGTTGGTTTGGAATGGGTCATTTGTTATTGCTTGCATGCATAGAATCTATCTAGGAATTTCCTCCCTGAGAGGTTAATAGATATAGACACGAGAAACAGAAGTCGTCGAAATTGACTACTCAAGAGGTGAAAAGTTTCACTGATCAACAGCATCGGATTAGAAGTTGCGAAATTCCCAAGATTGAGGGATATTTTCGCAATCGATCACCATAAATCCAAAGGTGCTAGAAGCTACAGATTCGGTGTGCTAACCTTCATTTGATCGTATGATAAACGAGACAAGTTCTTTAAGGTTAGTATGCCTAATGGTTAGTTGTGTCTGAATGTGTGTAAGAACAGTAAACTGACGAATCTGTAAGATGTGATGATCAAAATAGAATGTAGGAGAGTAGCACGAAAGAAGTTAGAATAGGCAATTCTTTCAATTTTTTGCTTATACTTACTTGAACGGCCCGTAATCACTAGTCGTGCGGGCTCCAACGTAATCACCATTTTTCGGAGATTTACTGGTTGAGCCATTGTGGTTCCCTGGAATCCTGAGGACAGCCTGGCCAAAGTCTGCCCAAGGTCGTCACCACCACAGGCAGCCGCAGCTCTTGTGGATCAGAGGGAAATTTACCAACATGCAACTTTGATGTCAAGAGGGTGGCGGATCCTGGTATTGGTTCACTCTTAGCTAGGCTTCCTGATGGAAATATCGGACTCCTTCTCAGCTTGGGAGACCTTGCCGGGGTACGAATCCCTTCGCTGTACATCACAGTCCGACACCCAGGAACCACCCAGCCACGATGAGGCGGTAAACCGCTCGGAAGTTTTTTGTGTATTTATTCATTTATTACTACAATATACTACCTATTTTTTACTTATCATCTACTTAGTTCCCGTTCCATTTATTATTTCCCTACATAATAATTAACAGAGTGTGTTCACACTTAGTTATTTTTACATAAAGGATACAGAGTAGAGTTCTCGGCGTTGGCCATTCCCTGAGGGATGCGCCACGCATTCGACTTCATTAAACATCGTTTGGAGTTGATTGAATGCATATCAGGTCTTTACAATAACTCGAGGTGATTTACCGATGTATCGAGCTGGTGCTGTTATCCTTCCAGACAAAGCGACAAGAGACAAAGACTAATTTGCCAGCTCCAGAGGGATGGAGGCCAGCGGTGCAGGGATCGATCGCGGGTGTGTGTTCCAGGGAGCCTCCGACCACTGCGCTACACACACCGCAGTCCTTTTACATATAACTTATAACTACATCCACATAATTTCCGCAGGGATTCACCATGCTATTGTAGACATTGGTGTTTCTCTTCGCAAATTTCAATACCCCACAAACAGAAAAGTTGCAAGCATTGTAAATTATTAAATGTAGCAAATAACTTTTCACATACCACGCATACGTATAGCAATTTTCGATAAGCTATCTACTGCATGCCAAAAATTATAACAGGAAAACTAATTGCGGCAAAACTAAACAGCAGAATTTACATTAATAACAATGCTTTCGGTGTTTCCACGTGGATTGGAGGAAACCGGTGGTGGTAGAGGTCGAACTAGTACATTGCTTCCTGATCGACGTAACACCAACGATGCGCTGCCCCTGCCCCCTCCAACTACTTACGCACATATATATACATATATATATGTATATATATATGTATATATACATATATGTATATATATGCATATATATGTATATACAGAAAAACGCGAACTCAGTGCCAGTCTTAAATGAAATGGCGGACATATCAAACATTAACGTAACATGTAGAATAAAGATTATTGTATGAAGTGACAGATCTCACTATCATTTGAAGGAAAATACTCACAATAACTAATACTAATAGGTACAACTACCTTATCTAGCGAATCTGTCACCCTCTTGGTCGAATCCTCACATTCTTGAAGAGGAACGTATCCGAGATCATTGCTCTACAAAGAACTGCAACTACACAACTCATTCAAGTGCAATGCTGTGCAGAATTTTCGGACAAAAATAAACTCAGGAAAAAAGAATTTTCTAAGGATCACTGTGCATATAATTTCTCGAAAATAGCTCAGCAATAGAGGAAATTAGATTTACAGCATCAAAAAAGCTCTATTTCTAATACATGTGATACCGTACCGTACTTCGCAATAAAATATTCCATGATGGAAAACTTATTCTACACCACACAAATGTTTCCGTATACTCCAGTTAAGTGCTATCAACCTCCAACTTAATGTCCGTGTACGATGAAAATAACGAAACTCACAACAATTTCGTTAGCCATATAGATTGTATTGGCCATCAACATCACGTAGTCCCATGATAAATACCTCGGAGTGAAGTCTGTTCTATCAGACATATAGAATTTTGAACGAAGAACTATCTGCAGAGAATTTTCGTCATAACCACGAAATAACTTAGAAAGGTAGTGGAATATTGGCAACCATTCAGGATATAACCGGGCATCATTGATACTGAAATTGATAAACAATGGTTATATGGAGCAGAAACTTTCGCCCAAAGAAGAAAACAACATTGAACATGAGTTGCATTAATTCTGGATGCCACCCTTTTCATTCTTTCTACCACAATCTCACATTTACTTTATAGAAACGATGGTCGTAGTTTCGTGAGGCTACTAGCTCTAACTCATCTGGTAACTCCTGCTGAATCAAAATCCGGAAAATATGCTAATGAACTGCTGTCGCCAACATTACTATGAAAAAAAATCGGCATCGCCTTTTTGAAAATTAAAAATGCAACCAAAGAGCAAATTGACAACACGGGGTCTACTGAAAATCGCAATGTCCTTTTTCGAAGAGGAGGGGCAAATTAGTGAACAGGTCAAAAATAAAAATAGAATCTATTATTTTACAGGTTTCGCTGTTATGGGTTTCTAATAGACTTCCTCTTTTTCTCCCTTCTACTCTCCATCTGTCTTTGTCTCTCCCGTAAAAACAGAGCTTACACATAACTGCATTCTACCCAGGCATACGTATGCTCACGATAAGAACATTTATACCGATCCATACATGCAGCAGTTTATTAGAACCACAGGTAGCATAGGATATTCACGATGAGATCAAAAATCATGAATTCCTTCTATAACTAGGCACAAAATACCTATTCTTCGGCAATAAATTAGAAGAAAACTTTAACGTAACTCACGATTCATACAGATAGGAAAAAATCTCATCCCCCTCTTTGTTGAATTGAGCATTTTTCAATAGCACCCTTTCGCATTTGTACCCATCAGCCTAAATCGATTTGTTAGTGGAAGTAAATAAAGTATGATTGAACTTTTACTAGTGATATTATAAAGCACATATGTTTACCAAAGCAGACAAAAGCTGAATATCGAAATTCATCGGAAGCAGGTGCGAACGGTACACAGCTGTCATCACATATGCAAATCGAACGAGCGACTTGCTTAATTCGCTGCACTGTCCCCCGCTAAGCTAAATAAATAAGAATGGCATAAAATGTAGATGGAGCACATCTAATACAATAGTTAGAGGTTCCCTATAAAGCATTAGTGCTTAAGTTCCATCCCGCGTAGAGGGCTCACAAAGACTTCCATCCCTCCGGGTTCATGAAATTGGTAGCAAACAGGTCTAGGAGGATAGCAGCACTGATATGACACATCGGTAGGCCTCCACAAGTCATTCTATTGGTCAGGTATGCCTTCGATCACCTCTGTCGTTGCGTGGTGAAGGCGATTGCATGGCGTATTCCACAAAGATTAATTAGCGCCAAACGCTAAATTCTTTGTTATCCTTATTTGAAATAGATCATCAAAAAATTACCAACAATGTAGTTACCTCTAGCATCACACCAGCAAAAATTATCTCGACGTTACGTGCATCACCATCCTCTGGGCTATACTGTTTTGAAAAATCCTCCAGTTGTGGGAAAGATTCAACAAAACGCTCAATCACTGCGACAATTCTTTCTCGATCAACCAGACAGCTTTCGTTTAATTTTGGGCATTGGAAAAATCCTAGATGACAGATAAATTCTGCCACCTTGTCCCTAAACCAATTTCCTTATAAGGTGCTATGAACATCAAATTGTGAAGGATACTTAGAGCACAGAACACACGATGTCACAGAAAATAAACTCATGTCTTTCGACAGGTCGGCTTCTGAGATACTTAAATCGTCTTCATCATCACTACTCATCGACTCGTCCATAAAATCAATGCTAAAATAACAAATTCATGACTAAAAACACCCTTTCGCAAAAAGAAACTTAGGAGTTTAAGTGCAAAAAAATTAAGAACGAAACAGATTTATTTCGCGCACTTGTAAAATTTATTTCAGAATGGGAGTATGACAAAACGCCTCTCTAGCTTAAAAACCTCCAAACGGTTTAACACCTAACCGTGCCTGGGAGTTGCTCCTTCGTGTCGGGCTGCGATGTTCAGCGGGGGATTCATCTCAGCAGGATCTCCCAAACTGACAGGGTGCCCGGTGTTCCCATCATGAAATCCAGCTAAGAGTAAACTAATACCAATATTAGGATCCACCACTGTCCTGGTATCAAACTAGTCGCATGGTGACAAATCTCCCTCTGATCTACAAGGGCGGCCACTGCCGGTGGTGGTGACGACTTGGGGTGGGCTTTGGCCAGGCTGACCTTGGGACTCCCAGGAAACACAATGGCTAAACCAGCAAAACTCAGGAAAATAGAGAACATGCTGGAACCAGCACAACCAGCGAGGACGGGTCGTCCAAGTATCCAAGTAGGTAAATAACTTGAAAACACATATGAGAAAAAACTGGATTTGTAGTAGGAGTGCATACGGTGATATAAACACTAACTAATATTTGTTTCTGCATCGATTCTCATCATGGTTTCGCTTAGATAATGACCTAGATGGACCAGTATAGAGCAAAAATTCCATGCAAAAAAAAGCAGAGCATAACACTCATCAAACTAGAATTTGCAATAACAGATGCGACACTCACGGCAAAATGTCGAAGGGCCACAGTTCTTGCTCGGTCCCATTCAAAAATCGTACAAGCTAGAAATATAATAGCAAGAAAAAATTTGAGACTTAATCAGCGAAAAATATTAACGTATATCAGCTTTAAGAAGCACTACCTGCTTCCCATTCCTTAGATCAGCGACAATTTGAAAAGCCATCTCAGCCATGTCGCTTGATTGATGATTGACGCTTACACCGTAATTACCAACGAACACACTGAAATACACTAAATACCAGTGAACGTTGAAAACAAGGAGTTCGTATAATCTTTATGTTGTCAAAAAGTACTGGAAGAAAATACCGCTTATAAGTCGGATGTGCCATAATGTCGAATAGGATACATTTCTCCTCAGCAATCTTTTCCACCTGCATAAAGCTTCTATATTACAAAATCTAGATCTTCACAACTACTTACAAATTTATTCCAACCCATCAGCTTTTACTATTAAGTTCGCTTTTCAATTTTCCGTACGAAATTTGAATATGTAAGAAATTTTATGCGTAATATTGGACTTCTTACCTGCATCATTTCTGAGAATGGAATTCAAGATAACGTAAATCTTAATATTCAAATGTTGTTATCATTTTCCCGCTATCACGTTCACGTCCTCCCAACGATTTACCGTTTCACCATGGCTGGGAGGTGTTCCTGGATGTCGAGCGGTGGTGTACAACGGAAGGACTTATTCCGCAGCAAGGTCTCCCAAACTGAGAAGAAATGCGCAGTTTCCATCAGAAACCCAATTAAGATTAAACTCATACGAGGATTCACCACCGTCCTGGCATCCAACTAGTCGCATGGTGGCGAATCTCCATCTGATCCACAAAGGCAGCTAGTGCCTGCGGTGGTGACGACCTGTGGCAGACTTTGGCCAGGCTAACCTCAGAACTCCAAGGAACCAGAATGGCTAAACCAGCACAACTCCGAGAAAGTAGAAGTTGTGCTGGGGCCCACACAACCAGCGAAAATGAGCCATCCAAGTAAGCAACGTGTTCACATCAGTTCTTAAAAATAGTTGCAACGATGTACTTATGATTTGTTCATAAAAACACCTACACATTCTTCTTTGCGTTCGAACCACGCTACAACACAGGAACGTTCAGCAGAGTCTGTCGACAGTATTACACCAAAAATGCTATCTGAAACACGCACGCTGCAGCAATTTTAGTACTTATACATTTCTGGTACTATATACCGGTGTTTTCCACGTCTTTACGCGCAACTAAGACTCCTGGCAAATGATCCTGCTGGTCCAAATCAGGATCATATGGAATGAGCAAATAACCAGGAATTTGACGCTCGACTGTACCGTTCATCCACTTGACATCCACTAGTGTATGAGAGAGCAAAACCTGAACAAATGTCAGTTGTCACGAAAGAGCTCAGGGCTCGGAAAATGGTACCAGATTTGTTGGGGTGAAGCGCACTCCCGCTAATCTACGTGGGGCGCCCTAGCACGGCTATGCCGCGATTCCAGGGACAATCGACTCTACCAGCATTCAATGGCATTAGCGGCGAAAATGAAAAAATTCCCAACCAACAGTCGAAGCGACACATTAAAAAACCTTCGAATTTATTTGTGGATGATGGGATTGACGTGAATGCAAGAAACGCTGGGATCTGCAAACTGTGGTACAAGTGATGTCTAGTCATACAATATGATAGAAAAAAAGATCAATACAAGCTTTGCAACACTACTACATTGAAAAAAACTAAATTTTAGTAAATGAAAAGATACCACTGAGAAAAGAAAGACAATGAGGGTGAAATTACTTGTAGGTGGTAGAAAAACCGGCAAGTTTCGACAAAGCAGCATGAGTGTTGGAAAGTATAGTAACATGACTTCGGGTGGATCGTATTCACAATTCTTTCACTTTCTTGCCCTACAATTTTAGTAAGACTCTCTCTCCCTAAACCTCGGGTGGTGACTGTGTTTTGTGTTGAACTAATTCGGAAACGTTCACTACACGCATAATTTCCGGTTCGGACCCGCAGCGAACTACCGAGACCCAGGTCCATCTAGATCAGCAAACAAGTACCAAGCTTCTCTGGCAAAAGCTCTGTCCGACTAGGAAAGGTGGACGATAACCTGTGGCGAGGACTCGAAGGAGTTTCAGTTGAGCTGCTTCATCATTTCAAGAAGATTCAACTCGACTTCATGAAGAAGACTAAGCATAACAAACTAGCGTGGAAAGACCTTAACAGGATTTTAGTAGCTCCAAGAAAAAGAAACGTGCCCAATCAGCTAATTAGAGGTCTTATGAAAAATAGCCACAGATCTACCTCACTGAGGGATCATCAGCTGGTTAGTCGCAAGTCTAGGAAAGAGCATCCGATGTAGTGGCGTTAAAAAGGATGAGTACGGAGGACTGCTAAAATCTTAGGGCCATTCTAAGCTATCTAAATCTCAAAAGGCTAAGATTTGTTTCTACTTCCGTTCACAAACACGAAGTGTTATTTTATTTCTTTACTTACGTACAAGCTGACGTTTCAGAGGATTTCGCCTTCCTCAGAGCCTGGAAAGGTCAAGTTGACAGCAACCTATTCGGCCAAACACCTCCATTACCAAACAGAGAAAACGCTTCTCTTCTCTTCCGAGTTTCTCACTATCTGAACCCATTTCTAAGGTAGCCTTGTGTAGGGTCGCATGTAGTTTACACGAACAAGATACACTCCGCAAAAGAGCTAGAGATGAAGCGCGAAATAGGTGCGAACAACACCAAGTGGGAGCCTTAGCACCACTTCCTCAGCCGTTCTTTAGACAACAAGAGCTCAATTATGAAGTTGATGTTAAATTTCGGGTGTTTACGAATGAAACTCTCAAAGTCCTTAATCACTATCGCGCGAAAAGATACAGCCCAAACCTCACTGAAGTGCAAAAAAGTGGTACACGAGAGGTAAAAGAGCTGATAAGGTTGAAAAACATAAGACTATCCGTTAGTGATAAGTGCAGAGTTTGTCGTAATTCCTCATCAGTTAGATGCTGAGGATAACGAAAAAACATCTTGAAAATGCTTCGCTTTATCGCCCATCATCTAAGAAGGAGTTTAAAAGTAAATAACGAAAATTAAACCACGAATGGGCCAAAATGGGATGGGCTGCTGGTTTAAAACCATCAGTTATTTCTCAATTAAAATTGACCCTACCAACATGTCCCGTCTTGTACTTATCAAAACCCATAAGTTAGTATACAGCGATGATCTCGTGTATACCGGTCCATCGTTATTTAAGGTTAGACCTATCATTAGCTGCGTAGACGGGTCAACGGATAGGATAACATGGTTTTCAACCCTAATATTTAACCAGTTGTTGAAACACATTCCAGCCCATCTTACGAATACCCAGATGTTTCTGGATCGTCTACGTACTGCGCAGCCCAACAGCGCGTGGGTGATGGAGTCCTTCGACGTTACCACCCTTTATACAAACGTGTCGAATGACTCCGCAATGCAAGCCATATTCGAACTCCTTACACAACACGAAGGAGAAATAAACATATATGGCTTCAGGATAGAGCACCTGATGGCACTCTTAAAAGAATGCGTGAGCTGCTCAATCTTCAGATGGTCTGGAAAGTACTACGCTCAAATAACAGGACTGGCAATAGGACAACGACTGGCACCAAGTTTTGCCATTGCGTTTATGTCTAAGGTGGAAGCACCGGTGATTGATCTCGGGCCGCTACCCTACTGTAGACATATAGATGACTGTTTTGTCCTTTGCTCAGCACAAGAGGAAATGGACAAATATTTCGAGTTGTTGAATAAACAGTCAGAGTATATCAAGTTCACCCGAGAGAAACCGAAAAAAAATAGCTTCCATTCCTGAACGTCCATTAGCCTGTCAGAAAAGTAAAACATCTTGGTATATTACCTCTCTTCTCACCCCTCTCACACGAAAAGAGCGCTTGTAAGAAACATGTTTCGACAGCAACCAACGTGTGCACGGGAAGAAAGCAGAGACGAGTCCCGGTACTTGACGCGGCAAATAGCCATTTCCAGTGGGTACGAAACTGTAGCTCGGGATAGGTGTAGGGGAAATCGGAGGCCCCCAAACGACAACTCTAGCGATAAAAAAAGTCCCGTTTATCCTATCCTTAATCTCAAATGATGTAAGTGCAGCTATAAAACGCTGCTGAAGAAGGGCGAGTCTAGAGAATTCGGTAAACGTAGCTGAAACACCACCGAGTAATCTCAGGCGCCAGCTAGTTCGTAACCGCCTATATGACCGTCTATGTGCAACTGAAAATTGCATAATTTGCCCCAGTGGTAGAGACGGTGATTGCATGAGCTCGGGTATAGTTTATCTGAACTCCTGTAAGACGTGCGGTGACGAATACATTGGCGAAACGGGTAGACCCCTCTGTGTCCGCACACCTAGCCGGCAAACATAAACCAAATACCCCGCTAGGCACGGATAAGACCCAGAGACATAACGGGAACGACTTTGAAGTACGTGTCACGGTCCTCTCACAGAAATCGAAAACACAAGCGCGCAAAACTCTCGAGGCGTTCTGGATTAATTCCAGCAATCCAAAAATGAACCGCAGAGAAGAATGCACTTGTTATTCTGATGGGAGGGGTACATTACGCTTCCATGTGAATTCTGTGCGGTTGATCTTCACTCGACATACTCAGTGGAAGACTCATAGAAAGCGGTGAATGTTCAGAGCTGTGTTAAATGTGATTAAAATCTTGGTTTAGACTCTGTTTGGTTATGGAGGTGTTTGGTCAAATAGATTGCTGTCAACTTGACTTTTCCAGACTCTGAGGAAGGCGAAATCCGCCGAAACGTCAGTTTGTTCGTGAATAAAGAATAATAAAATAACACCTCGCGTTTGCTCAGCAGAAATACGAAGAATTACTTGATCAATACCGAGGTTAATAGAAAATCGGTCATGGGATTTATTTTTTGTGTTCTGATGGTACCGGGTGCCCTACATTCATATACCATCCTAACCATCGGGCACGCCAGTAAATACGGCAACTATAACCAGATATGTGGTTCAATACTGGCTCTCACAACCCTTGTCCTTTAAGCACCCAGACAGACGACGAATTCGAAGCGTTTTAATATGAACTTGCAAAAGTTGTGAACAAAAGACCATAAATGTTCTAATGCCATCATTGGCGAACACAGAGGCACAAATTGAAACCATGTTGCCTCATAATTACAAAAGCCTAACCATCAACGTTGGATGTGGGACTCTCCGAAAGGAGAATACCATAACGAACTAGAGTACCTAGTACAAAGAAAATTTTGCCTAACCTATGTAGCTGCTGTTCCAACGTTTTACATCGAATTGGACCATCGCTTCACGGAATGAAGAGAAAGCAGTAAAACAGAAGAAAAGAAATGCCAAAAATAACTACGAATTGGGATTTACTCAGGTAACTAGTCAGCTAATGGGAAGATGCTGTTATCGACAACATGGGCGAAGAATGCGACCAGCTTATACAGCACCTTCACGCCATTATATTACATATACATTGTATTATTCTCATTACACTACATTGTTTTATACGAACATCATGTTTCCTTAATAGTTATATATCTTATATCTTAATTATATCTTCACACTAGTGCTATGAAAGCAGAGAGTTTGAAAGTAACAAAGAGACGCCTTTCTCCAAGAACACTCGAGCTAATACTCCAACGTAGAACCACATGCGCCGTAGCCAATTGCCAATTCACGGTCGAATTTGCGAAACTGTCCAGAAAGACAACAAAAGGAGATCACAAGGAGAGAACAGCAGCAGAAATATCTGAAGCTATGCAGTTGAAGAACATTTCCAGTACCCCTCGAAGCGTTGCCAGTTACAAGATGAAGATAATCGCACTCAGAACACCACACGGAACAGAGGTGTGTCTAAAAAGGCAGTGGAGAAAACCATCTACGAATATTACCCTGACCTCTTCAATGGCCACGTCCCCCTGCCGTTATATGAGACCAAGAGGCATGAATATGCCTTACCACTGGTTCTCCCTTCCGAAATCCAAAACACCACAAAAAAGTTTTAGAGCTACACGGTAGTAAATGACAGGACAGTAAATTTTGAATATAAAAGAGTAAACGAGAAACCAACCTCTCCAAAGACCTCATTATTCAGTATTTCTTTCTCTAATTCAGCGGTATTAATTGGTGATGATGGTGTACATCTCCGACGCTGAACTGGATGCTTGCGTCTGTAATTCGTTAACCTATTTTCCCGAAGAAACGGAAACGAATTTGCATCTCACTTCCGTCTTTGTCGAACAAGGCTTCTAACAACGGCAACTCTTGGTCGTCCAGAATTCGACGGTGCTTCATCCTCCTCAATACTTTCGCTTGACGACTCATAAACACCTTCCCACCTCATATCTGTTTCTGGCTCCTGTATGGGACAAATGACTAGTTTAAAAACAAACGAATTCTGGAACGAAAAGAGAACAGACCACATAATTAAAACTATTCGAATTATGCGACAATGGAGAGTTCTTTTCTTCATTCGACTCTACTCTGTTACTAATGCGAGCGACCTTTGACCCCTAAAAAGGGACGTCAACAACATCAAGGAGGTATTCTACACTAGAAGAAAACGCAATAAGTTCGAGATGTTATAACTTAAAAAACAGCCATTTAAATATTTCTTCCCAAACTTCATCTTGTTGAACAAACACCGAACGGCATACACCACAAAACATTGTTTAAAAGTTTTTCCACCACAAAACGAAGTTGCCAGTGAAACTAATGTAGTTCGTTCCTTTCATGCGCATGTAGGAAAAGTCACATAATTTACACAAGCTGACCTTAGTAACAGAAACTTTTCGATCCACTTCCAATTGAGAGGATTGGGGGGACGCTTCGCTCTGAGTGGGTGAATGATCCTTGTTTACAATATTATACTAAAATAAATATGAAGCAACAGATCTATACGTTGAAATAAAGGTTAGGAAAACATTTGTTTTCCCAAATTCCAAAGTGAGTGACCTTTTCAAATGAATTCCTAAATTGTTCTGTCAGATCTGTGAAGAACTGCTCTCGCGTAACGACCTGAGGAAGATTAAAACCGTTGGAAATTAGCACAACCGTAGAAATCAATACCAATCAGCATCAGCCTACCACTGACGAGCCGTCAGGCGTTATTTTGACGCGGTCAAACGCTCCCGGTCGAGGATTTGGGGAAGGGTCAATGCATATCACACTGAACGAGACCAATTCATTACGTCCTCTTCATCAACGAAAACTTCACAGCATATAACCTACTTTCCCAATTCACTTTTTGGAATGATATTAGGAGGTTTCGTAGTAGAGGAAGGAGATGTTATCCAGTCCACAGCAAGAGAGTGTGTTTCTATCTGACATCACCAAAAAAGGTAATAGTAAGACGCAAAAAAATCATATGAAGAAAACCACTGCACCTTTTCAATAATGCACCTAACACCTTCTGCAGTTCGACGTCTCCTTGAACACGTGAGGCTTTTCGGAGGATTTTGCTCCCATATTGCGAAGCGGCCTATGTGTTGGGAAAACTAGCACTATACTCATAAGGACAGTGTCACTTGATAAAAAGAAAGCCAGATTTAATAAAGAAATCAGCCACTCAAAACCTATTCTCTTTGCCAGTTCGAATAATTCACGCGGGACAATTTACAACACATTAAAAACTTGCACATAGAAATTTCAAAACAGATCTGATTACCAATTGCGTCCCTGATGGCAATGGAAACACATTCACCAGGAACTAAAGCCTTCATCTCATCAGAACGATCCGGGCGACAAAGGAAGACACCATTCCGTTTCCCTTCTCTGAGGACAAAGCTGAAATTAATGCCAAATTTTATGGCGGCAACTGTTAAGGGTTCGAGGAAGCATGTTTGAGATAACTACTGAAACGCCCATTAAAAAATAGACAAATCATTGTTTCACAAACACGTCTCTTGCCAGTTTTATGCCACACCAAATTTTTATGTTCCATATTGGTAGTGGGAAACAGTACGAAATTTCCACGTAGTGCATAAAATTAACTGCACTTAATGAGAAATATCAGCGACTTTCACTGATAATGTAACGCAGGTTCCAATATTAATATAACTTATGGATGTTTTGCTTCCAACGGTTTACTACCTATCGTGGCTGGAAGGTGTTCCTGGGTTCTTCGATGCACAAAAGGGAGATTCATCCCCCAGTAGGCCCTCCCAAGCTAAGAAGGAATCCGGCGTTTCCGTCAGGAAGCTCAGCTAAGAGCGAACCAGTACAAGGATCCACCACCGTCTTGGTATCAAAATGGTCGCATGGTAGCAAATCACTCCCTCATCCACAAGGACGGCGACTGCCTGTGGTGGTGACGACCTAGGGCAGACTTGGCCAGGTTGTCCTTGGGATTCCAGTGAACCATAATAGCTAAACCAGCAAATGTCCGAAGAATGGAGATTATGCTGGGACCCACAAAATCAGTGAGGACGGACCATCCAAGTATTTAAGTAAGCAAGGATGTTTTAAAACATACCGATATCTGCCTCTATGCAACAAGGTGACGTCGTTCACACAGTCGATTGCATTTCCTATCCAGTTCTTATACAACACATAGTTGTATGCAGAATTGTGGTTAATCATTTCAGTCTAAATTTACGCATACAACATCCAGCATAAAGTGCATCTGCACGGCATCAGTCAAACTAACATATTCATTTCTTCCTAAGGGGACATTTCTAACAACCACATTCTTCCGCGGCAATAACAGTACGTCACCGCGAACCTGAAAACGAAGAGCTGAGCAGTCATAGAACTTTTCTCTTCCCATTAATAGGGTTACCTCAACATTTACAACTTGTCCAATAGCAGTGTCGAGTCGCGGAATACGCATGTACTCTTTCAATGAAACTCCAATAAACTCATTCTCGAATTTTATTACTGTTTCACCAGCGGAAAATCCACGGTCCACAACGAAAACCTGCAAAATTAATAGACAGCAAAACTATGCCGTAGTAATGAACAGATCCTTTAAGAAGTGGCCTTGAATTTCATTTTTTTACAAAGACGTCTCCAAGAAGAAATGCCTTATCCTAAGTTTTTCTTAGTGTTACTAATTATTACTGCTTTTAGTAAGATCTGAACGAACAGTGCAAACAAAACAGCTATTTACTACAACTTTAATATCGCAGGCACACCTCTTTTACGGGCCGACGGGTCCCACGACATGATGGGATGGTTTCCAGCTCCAAGACTTGTGCCGAAATCACGTCGTCATCTAACTCCTCATTATTCTTTTTCCATTTGACCTAAGATGTGTTAAGGAAAAAAACACGTTAAAGAAAAATATGAACGATAAAAAAAACATGGACCAAAGCAAACCTTCTCAACGTAGGCTAGCCCAATTCCTCTCTTTTTCAGATATACGACGGTGTCTTCCTCGTTAGGTAATGGTCGCGTGTAGTCACGACAGAAGTAACTCGATTCTGAAATTGCTAAATTTTAATAAACTGTAACAATATGTGGGACGAAAACATCAAAAATTGTGTCCATTCGGCTAGCACATTATTGAATCTGTGGATTACATGCCAAAGTCTACCCAAAGTCGTCACCACCACAGGCAATCGCAGCACCTGTGGATCATAGGGAGATTTGCCACCATGCGACTAGTCTGATACCAGGACGGTGGTGGATCCTGGCATTGGTTTACTCTCAGCTAGGCTTCCTGGTGGAAACACTGGACCCCTTCTCAGCATGGAAGGCCCTGCCGAGGAGATGAATCTCCCCGCTGTACATAGCAGCCCATGACACGACACCTAGACGGCTCGTCCTCACTGGTTGTGCGGGCCCCACCATAATCACCATTTATCGGAGATTTGCTGGTTAACCCATTGTGGTTCCCTGGAATCCCGAAGTCAGCCTGGCCAAAGTCTGCCCCAGGTCTTCACCACCACGGATAGTCGCAGTCCTTGTGGATCAAAGGGAGATTTGCCACCATGCGATTTTGATACCAGGACGGTAGCGGATCCTGGTATTGGTTCACTCTTAGCTAGGCTTCCTGATGGAATTCCGAACTCATTCTCAGCTTGGGAGAACTGGCCGGGGGGCGAATCCCTAGCTGGACATCGCTTTCCGACATCCACGAACACCTCCCAGCAATGATGAGGCGGTAAACCGTTGGGAGGGTGGATTCCCTTAAAACTTGAAATCCACAACTGTGACCCTTCCTATTTTGGGGATGATACATGGCACATTTTCTATGTGGTTCTAGGAACTCAATACTAATTTTGATAAACGTTCACTAAGTTACTTTCACTGACTGAGGATCGGTTTACCAGGTGCCGAGATCCCTGGAGAGCGGCGCGAGTTCATGTCCGTGGGGGATTTCCGTTCTGGGAAAATGGAAGTTTCATTTAGAAAAAAAATGTTCAACTCCAATAAGAAAAACGTACGAAGCTCCTGATTCTGTAAAGTTACCGCATCAGTAACACTTTTTTCAGTTGCGGAACTTCGTTCCCCTGAGCTCATATCCTCAAATCAACAAATAATATATGAGACAGAGTAGCTGGGAGCCAGAGGATGAGAGGGGAGAAAGAAAGAGAGCACAAACGGAAGATAAAGAGAGCACGGAAACAAAGAGAGAGAGCGAGATAAGGGAAGTCGGACTTAACATCGACAGTTCAAGAGGGATGCACAAAATCGATAGAATGGTGAAGATCTATTAGGCGGAATTCCGATCCCAAAATGTGCGTGATCCATGGAACTTTTCTCGGATAACGAAGCTTAATATTAATGTGGTAAACCAGCAACTATCAAAACGGTGCATTTTGCAAGCTTCTCCAAGTGATATGAGTAGAACAACTTGTTTTCTCAAATCATTTTCCAAGATGACTACCTTGAGAAGATCAAAATCACTAGTTTACCCATGAAACAGCAGTTCACTACAATATTAGCACTATTTCTTTAGCTTAAAAAAGATTCTTCAAAGTGTTCTAGGACATCGGACGAGAAGTGAGAAATACTTTCCGAAACAAATGAACAACCAACAAGTACCTGAACACTGCACAGCGCGCTCCAGTGCTTTCGCGTCGAGAATTCTGGAAGGTTCTGGTTTCTAGTCCTAGCCCATTTATCAGACAACGTTCGTCTTAATCACATAGACAGAGTGATGGCTATAAGAGCACAACCGTACAAGAGCTGCTTAAACAGTCCATCGAATCAGGTGTGGGCAGTTTATTTTGCAATCCACGTCTGCTTGTGCTTCTCCGACAAGGCTGAACAACCACGACGGTTCTTGTCTATCGCCCTTTCATCATCACCACAACAAAAGCAGTCCTACGCAGAAGTACCTCGGAAGTTTTGCAGTGAATAACGAAGCATTCGATTAAGAAGGCAAGAACATACACAATCATGGGAAAGCTGTTGTCATATCTCCAATTCTCCAACGACAACGTAGTCATTGCGAGCGCTAATGAAGCAGAGATGATGCTTGAAGAGCTCAAACCGAAAGAAGAAAGTAGGAAGGGTACATGAAGAACTCATGGCTTGATAGCCAACGAACTGGAACGGATGAGTCTCTTATTGAAGAGATCACATCAGAAACATACCAAGCACGTTCCATGAACGTGGAAAATGGCATAAATGGGGAGGCATACGGAACATCATTAGGAGCTGCGTTCATATCTCCCAGAGAACCCACCGATCAACTATCGGACCCATGAAAAAAAAATGCTGATTTTTCCTAGCACTTCTTCCAGAGCGCTGTTATGCAGATCTGACGTGCTTGAAAATTCTGCCAATCATCCACAGAACTTAAATGCTGGCTTTCGAGAAACCGAACTCCACACGTTGTATTGGAAGACATTCAGTCTTCGAGATACAAGAAGATACAGATGGAAGACGAAACGTAGATTTGTTACGTGGCGAGAATAGTGGACCATAGATGGATGTGAATGGCGGTAGAACGGACGGATCTCCACCCTATGCATGATTAGCGCATGTGCTCGTCCTTTTGTCAATCAGCTCTAGTGGCTGAAAAATGCTCCATGTACCAAGGAACAGAAGAAATAACACTTGCAAAAATTTACCGGTAATTCCCATGTGACACCGCGATCCCCTTAGGCACCCCTGCTGCACAGCTCGCAAATTCAGAATTCTGTTCATCTGTGGAAGAATGAATGGCTATAGACCACCGATTCAAATAATTGCGGCTCTGAAGATGATGAAGGCATCGAAACGTTAGCCGAGTGAAGGTTCTATAGCAACTTCGCGTAAGCTCATGGATAGAACAAAATAATGGTCGAAGAACTCACCATGGACCACCACTATGGCTAAACAATGAGAAGAAAAAGCGAATAGACGAAGTGCTGAAGTTCATAGGGGATCTGTGAGGATGATTTATGGGCTTCCAAATAAGCACGGATCAGGAAGTTAAGCGAAGCAAGAATACGTTGAAGTATTCCAACACCTGCCTCACTCAAGCAACTTGAGACAACAGAAGCATAACGACTGACTTACACCAGAGTAAAAATACATTGGACTCAATGAAATTCACTGCAGGAACAGTTACATAAAAATATTGTAAATGTAATTGAATTTCTTCACCACAGGAAAACTGCTGCACTCCACGAAGCACTGAAATAGCCTAAAAGTCACATCACAAATTAGGCTGACTATAACCCAAATGCAATTTTTAGGTAAGGTCTATACCAGACCACACGTCTAGCACGCCTTGTCTGAGTGCGACTTGTAGTACTAGCGGTGGCAAACGTAGAGATCGAAGTACTGACATGCAAGAGAGCCCAACGATACGAATACAATCGCCGTCACAAGTCCTAACATGTGGAAACATAGAAATTAACAATTAAAGGGATCAAGAATCACCAAGACACAGTGGGGAGCCAATCACGACGATGTAACCTCACATGGACTCATACGATGCCAAAATGATTGCCTGCAACACCACCTCTCAGCTCATAGTGGACTTGAATATGGGAGAGACCACAGTTCTTTGCAAATAAGACAAAGCCTCTCCTACTGTAAGTATGAAATTTTGAGAGCCTCGGAACGGTTTTTTTTACTTTCTGTGATGAAGTTTGGTACCCCGAAGGAGAAAACAACTGGGCACACAGGGATTCGTAAAGCTCGGGACGATCCCGTTCCGCAAAGCAGCCGCGGTTTTCGCGGATGCCGGGCTTACGAGGGAGATTTCAAACATTCAAACCTTGTTTTCAGTTTCTTCGCGTAAGATTTGTGCACATATCCACATTATATATATATATATATATGTATATATATATATATTGTACGTCCGTGTATATATGTATACATATTTATGGGCATATATATATATATCCTATGTGTGTATTCTTAAGGCGATAGAGCAAAGTTTCTTCTACAAAGCTGGGAACTCTTCAACGTCTCCAGTATCTTGTCTTCGGAGAAAAAGTTTCTCTTATGCAGCTTCAATGTAAATGCGCTGGTAGCTTAGAAGTTACCCGCTGGGGACGACGTCAACTGTCCGTAGTTGCAGACGCCCATGGCAGACGCGTAGTATTGGCACTCAGGACATCCTCTTTTCTTCCACTGCTTCGTTCAATTTGGCTCTATCCATTCCAACAAAAATTTCTCATTAGGTTGAGGAAGTACTTCTATATGACTTGTCCAGTTGTAAATAATTAGCATTCATTCCATGTCTTTCTTTCTTACAGTGAATTATGATCTTAACCACCACAGACAGCCGCAACCTTTGTGGATTAGAAGGAGATTTACCACCATGCGACTTTAATACCAGGACGGTGGTGGATCCTGGTATTGGTTTACTCTTAACTAGGCTTCCTGATAGAAACGCCGGACTCCACAGCTTGCGAGACCCTTCTAGGGGATGAATTACCCGCTTTACATCTCAGTCCGTCACCTAGGAACAGCTCCCAGGTACGATATGGCGGTAAACCGTTGGGAGGACCAATAAGTTTCGTGGGTCGTGAGTCCAGCACCAATAATTTTCCTAGCTCGGCACGCCAGACCGCTCGTGACGCTACATTAATGCTTAGAATAGTGAGAATAAGTCTTACAGGCCCAATTTTTTTGAGTTTATTATATTTTGTAACGTTTGAGGGTAGTGGTGGTTACCCGTCGATTACATGTAATTTATCAGTGTTTCCTTCTGTAGTTGTTTCGTAGACTGCCTATGATGGCGACGTCCTGGCGCAGACTTTGGCCTGGCTGACATTGGGACTTCAGGGAACTACGATGGCTAAACCAGCAGAACTCCGAAAAAGTGGAAATTATGCTGGATCCTGCACACCTAGTGAAAACGAGCCATCCAAGTACCTAAGTACCTCAAGTTGTTTATACCGCTTCCACTTTTCGTTTCTACTTGTCCTGAATTTTGCTTGCCTTAAATAAAATAAGGATGTCCATGCTCGTTCAAGCTCATGTACTGTTTGCAAGATCAGTATTCTCTACTTTTCCTTTCGATTGTTCTATAGCGTATCAGTAATTTAGGAATTCGATCATTGGCTAGGATCGTGATGAAGGGGAGAAAAACTCGACGACCGACAAGCGAAGAGGACCTTGCTAAGAATGTTGCTGGTACTTCTCAAACTTCATCACCACCTCCGTTAGTTAGTTCCTAAGAAGTCTTTGGTCGTTTACTTTATCTTCTTCTTGGAATTTCAGCATGAAGAGGTTGCAAAAAATGAGTGCATATGAGAGGGCGAAGAAGGTGTACGAACGGATTCAAGAAGAAAAAGCTAGAGAAAAGATCATTCGTCAAGAAGAACGTGAAAAAAGACAAGCCAATTTCCAAATGTATCTTCATTCCAAGAAGAAACGTAATAAAGTGCTTCGCAAGTGCAATAAAAAAGGCCAGCCGAATTTGGGTGCACAGGTGGAGATACTATTAGAAAAATTAGAAAAGGAGGACAAATGACTATGAGCCATACCGTCTCAACTTGTGTCAGTTTTAAGATTTGCTTATGTTGTGAAATTTGTAAAACTGTGACATCAGATAAATATTTCCATAGGATGATTTGAAGTTGGGCTACTATGGTATTCACTCCATGGGTAGTTACTCTACCTCGTTTCTATTACGTTTCATATGGGATATGCGGTATAAGTCAGTAGTTATGCATATTACTTTATCGTAACATGGTTTTATTGATCAGTTTAGAACCTTTCTAAATATCTGACGCATAAAAAACAAAAAGGGTAAAGCTTTCGACGTTGATCAATCTCTGAGGAATGCGCCATGCATTCGACTTCAGTAAGCATCGTTGAAGGTGAACGGATGCATATCTGGCCTTTACAACGACTCACGGCGGCCTACCGATGTGTCGAGCCAGTGCTGCCATCTCTCAGACAAGTCTGGTACCAAATTGCCGATCCTGGAGGGGTGGAGAGCTTGGTGGGCCTGGGACGTCGGGATCGATCCCATGTGTATTACACGAGGTCTTCGACCACAGCGCTACATGCGTCACGCATACCATGTGTAATACAAAAACCTTGGGTGTTCCTTATGTGCTTCTAAATATGGTTACGTACTAGATCCCATAAGCGACCTTCACAGGTTACCGTCTGGATGGAATACGAGATATTCTTCGTCGGTTGTGGAATTTCTCGTATCTTGACAATAGAAAGTAATTTTTCGATGACCTAGAGCTTTGGGTTTAGTGGGCATGACAGAATTGTAGAAGAGACTTTGCTCTATTGTTCTACGAGGGTGGGTGGTTTGTGTGGTAACACTTGCTCTGTGTTACAATAGTCCACTATGAAAGTACATTGCTGTCAGCGCTTGGGATTATTTTGCAGCCTATCTTTAGTCCGTTTCGTTTTTTTTTCACATTCCATACAATGATCATAGTGGTTAAAATGAAAGAACAGTTAGTTATCGGTCAAATTGCTGGCCAATGGGTTTTTTTCTGGAATAGGTTTTTGGTAAGTCATCAGGTGTAGTGAGTGGCTTTTCTGGTTGCACCCCTACTACTTTTGTGTACTTTCGGCTACGTATTGAATGAATATATGGTGCGTAAGTTTTGCAACGCGCTAAACAGAAAGTAATTGCTGTAGTGTCCAAAGGGGCGCGTGTAGCGCAGTGGTTAGTGACTCCATGAATCACGCAAGGGATCGATCCCCGCGCTCCTGGCCCACCAAGGCCTCCATTCCTCTGCGGTTGGCAAATTGCTACAAGACTTGTCTGGGAGAATAGTAGCGCGGGCTCGATACATCGGTAGGCCGTCACGAGCCATTGTAAAGGCCAGACATGCACTCAGTCACTTCCAACGATGTTTAGTGAAGCTGAACGCGTGGCGCTTCCCTCAGGGATTGATCAACGCCGAGAGCTCTATCCTTTTTTATTTATAGTGTCCACGCCGTCCAGGTGTCCAGACACGTATAGACACCCTAGTGTCTATATTGGATGCTATGGATGTGTATATATATATATATATATATTTATGCATGTGCACACGTATTTACATGTATACACATATATGTATATATAAAAAAAGGATAAAGCTCTCGACGTTGATCAATTTCTGAGGGATTTGCCATGCATTCGACTTCATTAAGTATCGTTGGAGGTGATTGAATGCATATCTGGCCTTGCCTTTACAATAACTCGTGGTGGCCTACCGATGTATTGAGCCAGTGTTGCTATCCTCTCAGATAAGTCGTACCGATTTGCCGACCCCGGAGGGATGGAAGGCTTGGGGAGTCGTGGGCGCGGGGATCGATTCCACGTGTGTATCGCAGTGACGCCTCCAACCACTGCGCCACACGCGCCCTATGTATGAATGTATGTATATATATATTTATTTATATATGGTGTATAACTGCGGTTTACCGTATCGTTTGCTGTTTTTCCGTTCAACTGTTCCGTAAATTATACAATACCAGTTGAGAATTCAATCGATCTTCGTGCTTCCATAAGTTTTCCGTTGCTGATGCCCGATCACCCTCGTCGTCCGCCACCCGGTAGGAGCTTCCCTTTTCTGCGTAAAGGAGATGGACAAAAAACTAAGGTGAATATTCCTAACCTTGTACGACTCGTTCGTAATACGTAATCAAAGTTTGGGATACGTAGTGAAATTATGATTGCATCAGTGTTTAGTCGTTGGTAAGTTATACATATGACGTTGTTATTTTCATATAAACTACCCGATTCTGCAACGGGCGGGAAGCTTTCCGAAGTCTGAAGCAGGTGGTGAAGGTGATACTAAGATTTGTGCGATTTCTTTCTGCCATCAGGTTTCTGGAATAGCGGTGAAAATATTGCAGATAAGCAATTATACAATTCTAAAAATGTGTATGGTGGAAAATGGCAAACTAAAGACGTTATACCCACAACTTCGGAATCAGATGGCGCTGGAACAAGTGCTAATAGAGGTTGGCAGGTTGGAAGGTCTAAAGTGTTTTTATGTCTTTGATACTTCTATCTAGTTTTTCGGTTCCTAATTAGACACTAGTTGCGCTTTAGTCTTCCCATTTACCTTTTTGCGGTTATTTCTTTATATCAGTACTCTTCTGTTCCGAGAACGATTCGAACAAATGATGATGGATTTGTCAGAGAGTGTGGAAGTCCAACACACGATGATGGTAAGGGTTTGAAAAACTGATAACTTGTTGGATACATATATGTATATATATTTTTTTATTTTATTTGATCCGTCTTTACGTATCCCACCACTTCTCACACTCGATTGCTGCTTGAGAATTTCCATTTTATCTTGAATGTCGTAGAACACTGGTCGAGCAATTCTCCTTTTGGAGTCCTGATATAGCCGCGCGGAGCGTTCCCAACAGAATTGCAAAGAGTGATTCTTTCCCAGATAAGTCCGGTACCAATTTCCCGACCCCGTAGGGATGAAAGGCTCGGTTGGCCCGGGGGGGAATCGAACTACCACCATGCTCGTGATGACGGTCATCACTACTACTGTGCTATCCGCTTCCTATATACATATGTATACATATATACAAGTATACACGTGTAGTATGCATATATATATGCATGCATGCATGCATATATATATTTTTTTGCCAAAAACAAATTTTCTTGTGACATTATTACAGTCTCCCTAATTGTCCTCACTTGTTTCGTGAACGGGTAGCCCATTTCCAGGAAAAATCGTGTTGGCTTCTGCGAATTTACTATATAATCTATATGGTGCACTCCTAGCATTTTTTGTTACCTCGGGCCGAAGCCAGATTTTTCCTAGGTTATCACCACGAGTAATCGTCTGCCTTTGTGGACTGGAAGCGATTTTACCATTTAGTACTAGATTTTTTCCAAAGTGGCAACGACTATTGGTATTGATGCAGGGGCTTCCCGATGGAAATGCTTAATTCTTTGTTAGATCACGAGTCGACGCTTGGGAAAAGGTTTTTGTTGTAAATGGCATTTGAACACTTTGGAACATTCATAACCATAATCAGCCGGTAAACTGCAGGCTTCTTCTAAAGCATTGCGGGAAAATTGTAGTACTCAGGTACTTTCTGCCATCATTTTACTATTGCAGTCCCTATGTCTATTCTGAGATGTTAAAATCGTAAGTAACACAGGATGGTGTAAACAAGTCAAGGGTTCAGTTCGCCAGCGAAGCATGCGAACATCGCGGTGTAACTGCCTATTTTTGCACATTCAAAAATTATATTTTTTTCTGCGGGGTATCCTGTGTATTCGAAGCGTATTGATCAAAATTTTTCCGAAAAGAAAGCTAATGCCTACTTTTTTGTTAAATTTTTCCAATGTAATTTAGCATTTGCTGTGTACTTCTCAGTCTCTTTCTTTCCTTTATACCACATGCTCCTTTTGTTGTTTTTCACACTTTTTCTTCATACAGTGCCATTTATTATGTGTAATTATAAAACTTCTCCGTTATGTATCATATTTAAAGCTTCCAAATCCTCAGGGTTTTTTGGCTACTGAAGATTATTAGGAGTTGCCGGAAAACTGGCAGCATCTATGTAAGATTCAGTTTGTGAATGTTTTGTATTTTAAGCAAGGGCAAGTGGTTCAAGTCAGTAGCTTACAGGCGTCGACCCGCTTAGCCCCCGCTGTTAATCATCTTTATAAAATGTCATTTAGCCATCCAGTAGTATACATTTTTTGGTGTTGAGTGAAATCATCGTCATTATTGGATGTCTGGAGTGGAAGCATACTGGGTTTGATCAAATTCCACCGTACTTATCAAGATATTTTCTTTTCATAGTACATTCGAATATGAGAAACTAACATTGGCACTTTATCAGAAAGTTCTTCGTCAAGTGAAGAAGTCTCCCCAACTTCATCTTCCATAGCTCAACCTAACATCGAACTGCGCAAACAAAAGGCACTTCCTCTGCAAAAGTTAGCTAGAGAAGAGGTGACTATTACTTCTCTACTTCTTCAGTCTTTCGATCAAGAGTATTTTCTTATCTAATTATAAGTGTTGTAATTAGAAATGATGCCCATAGCAGTCGTAGCTATGAGTCTCTTGCAGAATTATTCACTCACTCCTCCTACCGTTGGCTCAACGTCTCCTATGCTCGCAAGCACACCACAACCTAGGGCAGAGTGGCAATTACCACAACAGTCACAACATGTTCCCGCCTTAGAAACTTCGATACTCGGTGACATTACAAATGTAAGCTTTTGTAAATCGATGGAATTCATGTATTTTTTATCAAGATGAACTGAGAAAGGTCGCGATAACGATACAATTCACTTATACTTGCCTAGAGCCTTAATGGATTTTCGATTGTTGGTTCTATTTGTTGGTATAATTTAGCAGGCAGACGAAGCTGTTTTGTCACCTAGGAACGAAAAAAAGAGTCCCGGTAGGTGGAAACTTATTCGCCTCATTGAGAGTTTGTTATTCTCTTCAATTAGGTCACCGTGATGGAAATACACAAGTTGCAAGCGTTGTTCTCCAGCAGGTGAGGAACGAACACTTTCTAATGTCTGCTTGAAGCATAAGAAAACGTATGCACTAAAATCAATATGTTTGTGTCATGCGGAGTGTATTGCATGCATTGATTTCAATGCATATACTTCCCGGCTGTTTATTTTGCCATTTTGCTATAGATTTCGTATTCAATCGTTAGTTTTTCAAACACTTGTGTTATTCAAGGTAGTATCCACTAAAAGTTATGAAGTTTAATTTAAAATATGCATTTGCTTTACTTACCAATTCGACATCAGATGTTGTGCGAAACCAAAAGCATTTTGTTCGTGTGATTTGTCACATCGCGTCCATCACCCACGAAAATCTTTGGGTTTACTCGGCTTCTGATTGAGAGTTTTTGGTCTTTTCAGTGGTATTTCTGCCACTGCGCTATCCGCCCGCCCACACAGAAATATGTTTGTGAAATATGAAATGTTGTTTGTTTTGTCCACGGATTTCTCGTGTTGACGTTTTCGACATGCTGCGGTTTGATGAGTTTGTGAGAAATGTCGAGTCATGTGTTGTGAATATAATAATAATCTCATTATTTTAACTTTTTAATTCACTACCTCTTCGGACTAAGAAGTCATTGTTATTCTTTCATCACAGCACCATTGTATCCCTCCGATGCTTCTGATAGATAATCTGTTTGGGAGTCTTTTCGGTGTATTCTTGCATCTACCAAGCAAATAGGTTTTTTCGAGGCAATGTTTCTCCCGAAAAGAAATTTAAATAACATTTAGCGGTGTGCAAGCAACCAACCAATCCTACATGTCGATTGAGCCACGCCTGCGTTTCTATTGGCAGACATCATGATCCCTCATGAGGCCTTATTTGGTGCCCAACTTGAATGCCTTGGTCTCGTACTAGCGCCTTTTATGTCGAATGTATTGCTAGAACAAGAAATGTTTTCTAAGCAACTAGAGGGGATCTTCGATACTCCTGTCCTTGCTAGACATTTATAGGCCCTGGAAATTTGAGTTTGCAGGATTGCCAACGTTGATCTCGAATATATTGTCCTGTTTGCTGTGGCAAGGTACCTGTCTGAATGCAAGGTCCCCACTCAGTGGAAGACCAGCAAGACCATGTTATTGTTCAAGAAAGGTGACCTGCACGATATCGGCAGCTATCGCCCAATCTGCTTACTGTCTGTCGTCTACAAACTTTTCATTCGAGTCATCCTGAACAGGATTGACAGAACATTAGACGAAGGACAGCCATGTGAGCAAGCAGGGTTTCGAAGAGGATTTAGTACGATGGACTACATCCACACGGTAACACGGCTCATTGAAGTATCGCGAGAGTACAAAAGACCGCTGCGCATCACCTTCATCGATTTACGGAAGGCCTTTGATTCAGTTGAGATAGAAGCAGTCTTGGAAGTCCTTGATAGTCAAGGAGTCCCTACTCAGTACATAAAGATTCTTCGTGAGCTGTACAAAAATTTCAGAACCAAGATATCACCATTCTACAACGATATTAACATTGACGTTAAAAGAGTAATTAGGCAAGGCGATACCATCTGGCCAAAATTATTTACCGCCACCCTCCAGAACGTCATGCGAATATTGGAACGGGATAATTAATATGGGAGTGAAAATCGACGGTCAGCAGTTACACCATCTTCGCTTTGCTGATGACATCGTCCTTATAACACCAAACATTAGCCAAGCGGAACGTATGCTTGACGACTTTGATAAAGCCTGTGGAAAGATTGGTCTTCGACTATATCTCACAAAAACGATGTTCATGAAGAACGGATTGGTTTCACATGTCCCATTCACGCTCAACGGAACGTAGATCTCTGAATGCTCCAGTTATATCTATCTAGGTCGGGAAATCAATATAATGAACGACCTAGCTCCAGAGTTGAGCAGAAGAAAGCGAGCGGCTTGGGAAACTTTCAAGAGCATCGAGGATGTAGTGAAAAGAACAAAGAACACCCGACTCCGTGCCCACCTTTTCGACTCAATTGTACTTCCTGCCCTTACGTATGCCTCAAAAACCTGATCGCTGTGTAAGCAGGATGTAAGGTCACTCAGCGTTATCGAACGAGCAATCGAAAGGACGATGCTAGGAGTATCCCGTTCCACACAAGTAAGGGTTGGGATCCGAAGCTTCGATCTGCGTCAACGATCAAAATCAAAGGTGCCGTTCTGTACGCTAAATACTCGAAGATAAGGTGGGCCGGACACGTAATGAGTATGAATGACAACCGATGGACAAGAGCCGTAAGTAACTGGTTTCCTGGAAAGATGGGATGATCAACGAGTCCCGAGAGCGAGCAGAACCCACTGGGCTACTCTTGCACGCGACAGGGAAAAATGGAAGGTTTACTGGCGCCCACTCGGGTCACTCGACGATCAACGGGACTACAGGTGATTCGGGTGATACAGGTCTGCTGTGGCATTTGTTGTGGGTGTTGTGGAAATCAGGCAACGCCTTGAAATATTTGTGTCCTTGTGGCCATTTGAATCTCATTTGTACACCTGATTGGAACACTAATAATCTTTTTCCGAGAAATCTCGAAATTATTGGAGGTATTCCTCTCTTCTTTGTAATCAACTTTATGAGTAATCTCACATATCACTTAGCGTATGAGCGTCAGAGACTCTTTCCACATGCCAGGAATTATTCCAACCGTTTCACTCTGAATAAAATAAATTTCGGCTCTTAGTGAACTTTACTTGCTTAAACGAAAATCACTAGGATTTTCAGATCCTTGCAAACATGGCATAAGTCTTACTATCACTCCAAATTGAGAATGTGATTTTTAAAGCCTCCAAAAGGTAATTTTTTTTCATGAGCAAGAGACGATGGTGCTTTAAAATGTTTTGTTGATGTTTAGACGTAGTGCGTTTGCTTTTAATGAGTACAACGCAATATTCGTAGACGTCCATCGAGGCGTTTGCGTGATGTCATGGTTTCTCTTCTCGCCAATGGCTTCTTTTCCGCGGAAAAGATATTAGAGTTTATTCCAGTGAAATAATTCTCTATTCCAGTTGTAATTTCGGTTTTTCATTGTAGTAAGAAGGCACCTAAGAAGACATTTCATCGTATGCATAGAGTCTAGCATTTTATTTGTCTCCAATTTTGATGTATGATTTTGAACGTAATGTGGTCGAATTCAGGCTGGTTCTGTCGATAGTGGTAATCTTATTGCTAACTCACGTGCCCCTCATCCTGTTCCTGGTCATGACATTAGACCACTGCGTCAGAGAGGTTACACAGACGTGGAAAAGAAGTTGGTTGAACAGCTGCGAAATGCTATTGCACATCTTGATCTTGCCGATATGGAACAACAAAAGAAAGCTAAAGAAGTCTGTCGTTTTTTATGTTTTGCTTTTCCACGTGAATTATTTCAATGGAATAAGTGTGGCTCTTAGTGTTGTTAGTAATCTTCATCTTTATTGGATTGTATTTATGGTTGGAAGAGGCGTATCTTCAATTTCGTGATCACGTACGCGAATTCGAGGAGCAGAAAGACCTAGAGAAAGAAAGAGTTCAGCGTATTCGTCGGCAACTTGAGAGAGAGAGGAAAACCATCAATAAAACTGGTGGTGAGAGGGATAAAGTTGTAGCTGAGCAGGTATCTAACTTGTTGTACACTTGCATTTCCAGTAATCACTGGAATTACTTGAATGTATTTCTGCCCGTGATCATTTTTCTTTCAGATAGAAGATTTAATGAAAGCCATAACGCAAAAGGATCGACAAATATCATCGCTGCGTCTACGTCTGCGAAAGGCTGAAGAACTGAGTCAGACGAAGGAGAAAGAATTGGAGGAAAATAACAAAAAAGTAGACCGATTGGAAAGAACTGTTAACACATTGCAGGTAGTATATTAACAAGCACAATCGCTGTACTCTACAAATCTCGAAGCAAAGATGACATACCTTTTTTGTAGCGGCAATTGGCTCAAGTTCGTGGAAATTACGCCAAACAGACACATGAGATGGCTGCAGAGCTTCAGGCAGCTCGAGCGCACAACCTGCGAAGAAAGGGTTCCATTGGATTGCTACCAACTGTGAACGACCAAGTAAGAAGAATTCTACTTCTTAAAGGTAGTCAGTGTTTCACTCGAAGGAGAAATTGGGTAATATTTGTTGTAAGCTCCAGTCCAATTCCAAGCACTGTTTATCCTGAACTTGCGACCGAATGCAGCGATCTTCTTATGGCTCAAGATCGTTATATCATGTTAAAAAATCAGTGATAATGGGTTTAGACTAAAAAGCAGTAGTTAGTAAGAAAACCATGTTATAGCAATAAGGGAGTTGTGACGTTCTGTCCTTACACTTTTTCTTGCTTCTGTTTTCATACTATCTTTTTTTTCTGTGTGCCAATCTTACCATCTTTGTCGCTCTCCCGTGCCTCTATAATCGTTTTCTTTTCTGTATTGTTCTCACTGTCCTTTTTTTTTACTGAGAGACTTGTTCATTCTACAATTTTTGATATCATCGCACTCTGATCTTTCCAGCTTCTTTCCTTTCCTATCCTCACGTAGTCTGCATTTTACCGATTCTACCTCTGACGTACATCCAAATTGGCCTTCATTACCCATCTTGTTTTCCGCAATTACTTTCTTCTTTCGCAGAGTTACCTTATAAACTCATGTGGTATTTTTAATTGGAACCAAAACCTTTATGATTTACACATTCCACTCAGTAATGCCCAATATTCCCTATTACAATGTACTTATAGGTTTCCTAGGTCAACGAATTTCAACGAAAAAAAAACAAAATGTGTTGTAATAATACGAAAAAATAGGTAGTCTAATGAAGCTGCACAATTCACCATTCAGCTTTCCTCTTACAGTCGTACAAAATCCGCCGGTACAAGAATTTCCTAGGTCAACGAATTTTCTTAAGCTGTTTTTAGCAGGAATTTGGTTGTTTAAGGTTTTTCATGCATAGTTCTAGAAATACTCTAAAAAACTGCATTTGCTTGACGAGGACTTGGTGAGTGTAATGAGCGAGATGGAGAGTCGTATACCACTTCTTTTAGTAACATTCGCTGTTGTGCTTTAAAGGATAAAAAGCTGAAACGTTTGGCGTCTATCAATTCAATCCATGAGAGATGCACCATGCATTCGACTTCATCAAGCATTGTTTGAAGTGGTTGAATGCATACTTGACCTTTACAATAACTTGCGGCGGCCTACCGATGTATCAAGTCAATGCTGCTATCATTCCTGACAAGTTTAGTACCAGTTTGTTGATCCCTGGTATGGAAGGCTTGGTGACCCTAATGCGGGATCGAACAAACGGACACATGTTTGTTGCAAGGGTACCTGTAAACATAAACATTTACGTCTTACACATAAAGTTGATACACAAATGAAATACAGTTCTACCATCTACAATTCCTACAATTTGAATACTTGAGTGAGCCGCCCTCACTAGATGTGCGGCCCCAACATAATCTTCTTTTTTCGGAGATTTTCTGGTTAAGCCATCGTGGTTTCCTGGAATCCCTAGGTCAGGTTGACTAAGTCTGCCCAGGTCCTCACCACTACAAGCAGTCGCAGTTCTAGTGGATCAGAGGAGGATTTGCCGCCATGCGACTCTGATATCAGGACGGTGGTGAATCCTGGTATTGGTTTACTCTTAATTGGGCTCCCTGATGAAAATGCCGGACTCCTTCTCAGCTTGGGAGACCTTGGCGGGGGACGAATCCCTTCGCTGTACATCACATTCCGACACCCAGGAACACCTCCCAGCCACGATGAGGCGGTAAACCGTTGAATTAACTATTCAAGTATAATTTCTATAATTTACACCTTTGGTGCTATGGCTAGAACATTTTAAAGAATAATATTTGCCACATTGAATGTCTTTATTAGTGCTAGCTGTTTTGCACATTTCACAGCCGATTTAGAGTCCCGATATTTTGAAAACTCTTAAAACATCCAACACCATGTCTCCACTTTTTGAGTAATAGAATCATTTCCAAGGCATGAACAACTGGAATTAGAGAGCACTCTAGTTAGTTGAATCAAACTGCAATACACATAACTCTTCAACTCACTTGTTCGAAATCTGCTGGACATTCTGCGACGTTGGTGTCTAGTCTAAGATTCTTGGATCGTGTTTCGTGGTCGTAGGGTGAAAACTTCCCATTTATGTTTCTGCATGTCTGCATGAGCACCGCTGTACTGCTTTTATTGTGTTAGTTCATTGACTAGCTCCTCCTCAGTTTCCCTTGCATAACCTGTTTGAGAAATCCTTTCCTGTTATTCATGCATATGTCAATCAGACCAGTTTCCCTCGTGAGAAATCTTTCAGCTAAAAAGACGTGTACGAATTATCATTGAACAAATATACTCTTTCGTCCAATTTGATCACCTCTAATCCGCCCACAATTTCTCTTTCCGAGTTAACTTTACCAGCATACGAATGATATTTGTGTACCCAGTTACTATTTACACCTTGAATAATTTTAGCTCCTGTCTATATTTCCTGTCTGGTATGTATTGGCTGAACGAGGTCTCTCTAAATAGCAGGAGAGTGTCGTCAATGCCTAGCTTTTTGCCCGTCCTATGAAATCTCTTACGAGTTAAAATCTGCAACCTGGAATTATTTTCGGCATGTCGATCTCTTATGCAGTTTACAAATATCAGCAGAAAACGACTCACGGAAATGTGTTGACTCTGTGCGGGCAAGTCGGAGTAGTTCGGTAACTCTATGTTGACTACATCAGAAATACAGCGGTAGTGATGCACTGACCACCACTAACCGTATAAACCATGACCATCGACATCGTCATCCTTCAATTCGCTTTCTTATTCCCGTCGGGAAGGACTACAAGAGCTTTTTTCTGAGCACCTTCGGTGTTTTCTTCTTCACTCTCGATGAATATTTAATCCAAAAAGAACGCTGTCTCTCGATCCCAATTTTTGACTAGTAATTGATTATTTCTTCTGTAATCACCATGTTGATTCAGTTATCATGTGAAGTCGATTGGTACAAAAAACATTAGAAGAAAAGGAAAATGCCAACATTGGATGTTATGCATCAAGTTTTTTGACGTTTAGAGTCCGAGACGTAATTCTTTGTGTTTACCAATCTAAATCTATTGCAGTTATCGCTGATTAACCCATACCGATCAGTTCGTTTCCTTCCATGTACGACTCATATATATTTTTCTCAATAGGTACAGTTCTTTTCTGCCGTGTCAATACAAAAGTGGTTAGTCGTTGCGGGGACTAATACGCGACGATCCATAACCAGGAATCTTAATCCCATCTATGGTATCACGTATCCACTTAGTCAGCAAAGATTCCGCTTACAAACAAATTCGTCAGAGTAACGGTTTTTCTGTACAATATTAAGCATAGAGAACATTTTTCTGGTCTGACTTCTGTTATACTGGAACAGCAGGTAAGGCAGAAGACCTTTACGACAAGACAACGCGAGAGAAAATAGACTAAAATCGTTTTTGGGCGATGTACCTCTTTAGAACACGAGATTTCAAGAAATTGGAAAATGAACTTCAAATTTTTAAAGTTCCTTGTCCATGCTAGGAAACAATAAACTCGGTAGGTAGTAAAAGTAGTACACTCGGGGACACCATCGTGTGCTAGTGAACAAAATGCTATTTATTTAAGGGGCTTGCTATCCGAAGTATGAGTTGTAACAGAGAAAAATCATTTCTCAGTTCGGAGTTTCGTCGTGGTAGAGTAGTTAAAATTGTATGTTGTTGGCAAAGATGTGTCCATTCTAGATGTTTATTTCAGCTAGTGTAGTTCACTTTTAGTTGGAATATATCTAAAGGTGGTGGCATAAATAACTGCCAATGTTTTCACAAACGTCGACGTCGAAATAAAAAAAAATAAAGGAGAAGTTTTATAAAGAAAGCCCCAAAATATCCCTCTACTCTGTCTCCTATGGTTAGTGTAAGATGTACTGATAAACTCTATTCTGAGGGACTTTTTTCTAATGAAAATTTTCTCAATTCTTTTCTTCCTTGAATTTCCTTCAGAAGACGTTTTTATGGTTTTAATGCTTTTACTTATTACACTTTAGAAGCAAGGAAAAAAACTTGTTTGAAAATATCGTGCAGACCAAATTGTTTCGGGTGTGATTGTAATCAGTGGAATTGGTTGTTCCAAGAATTTTCCGCTTTTCAGACTGTTCATGGAAAGTCCGTGGACACAGTTGATCCGCAAGTTTCGGAACAACAAAGGTCAACTCAAGAACGACCAAAATCTGTCAGTTGGGCGGACAAACCTGTACCTGCGCATGTTTTACCGAATACAACATCTTACACAAGTGGATCCAGTCAAATGGTGCTGCATAGACTTTTTGAAATGTGTTTGATTTATTACTTAGTGTTATATTAGTTCAGAAGTGCCAACTGAGACATTAGTCATCCTACGTGGCAAGTAGTCACAGCTAACAAGGTTTAATCGAAAATTTCATGTTTCAGAAGTTCATGGAGCAAGGAGTTGGCTACTTTGGTTTATGTCGGCTGTTTAAAAATGAAATTGGTATGATGTTCTTATAATGAAGGGTGAAATTTGAGGTAAAACGTGACTGCTGATGGGTGTCGTTAATCTGCTTGTAAAAACTGGCTCTAACCGTGCGTGCTTGTCTTTAACATGTCGAGTTTTCATCTTCCGTCCTGTTTTACTTTATGTTCTTGCTCTTTCCCATATTTTAGTCTTGCAATTGCACAAGTCTAGGTGACTGGACGAAAGTAACAACAACCGATTGTGGTTGTGACTTTTACGAATACAGCAACTCCGATGTTCGTTGGATCAGCTGCGACCGCACTGTTGAGGTTTTCTTTTGAAATTAGCTGATTGTTATTGTTATGGAATTCGACCAATTTTAGGTAAACTACTTCGGCATCGTTGGGGCAACAATTGTTACACTTATAAAAGGATGCAGTATTCGGTATTTCAACAATGGACAGGTCGTTTACAATTTTTCATCTTTTTTTTTTATTTGCATCGAGTTGTTATGTCGAGTTGGAATCTTAGATTGAACTATTTCGTCTCTCCGGAGAGATTTCTCGATTTGATCCTGTGACCAAGCGGCGGACTGAGACTATGATTCACTCTGATGGTTCGAAATACGTCGAAATGTGAGGCGAATTTTATTGATATGCATAGTATTGCTTGTGAAGTAATTGGGTACTTGTTGAAGTTTCGATTCAACTGGCTGCTTTGTCCGCATTGAAGGAACTAATCGTACTTCGCATAATTTTGGAGAGCGGTCATCCTATCGTGGACATCCATCTGATCGTCATGTGTACAATCACAGTAATTCTGAGCCAGAATGGATAGAACCGGAGTACAATGTGGGTGAACCACTATTATTTCGGAGATGTCGTTCCAGAAATACGTTGAATTGAAATCAATACGTGCAGTACTACGGTCTACTTTACAGGCGCGACGATGTCCTGATGGCTCATTGAAGATAAAATTCTCCAACGTTATGGTATGTTATTTTGCTTGGCTTTATCTAAATTTAATCTCAAGTATGTGTCTGACTACTAAATAATTTCTCAAGGTTCCGAAATCGTGGAGTTCTCATTGCTTTCTCAATTCCTAGGGTGTTTCCTCCTATGAAAGCAATGAAAGTTCTCAACGTTCCTTCAGGTGTGCTGCCTCGGTGTAGAAGATGTTGGCTATGTGAAGCATACAACTCGTTTGGAAAATGGAAGCGAACGGAAGCGGATGTGTGTGGAATGGGGACATGTGGCTAGAGCAAGGCAACGGCAGATCGAAGCTCGAAAGTGCCAAGAACTAGTTGCCCTTAATGCAACGATGTGAGTGATAGTCACTATCTGTTAGACTATGGCTCTTTGATTTATTCATTCCGTTATAAGCTCCATCGGTAAACTACGGTTGTTCGAACGTACATTATGAGAACAGTTTATATTGTTGATGTTTATCAATCAACACTCATCATTTTGTACATTTGTTATTCTTCTCTTGGTCGTAACAGAAAGGTGTTCTTCTTATGGTTCAACTGTATGGCACGGGTAATATACTTTTTTGTAACACTGCTTGTAATATTATGCATTTTCTACCTAATCTTCTTGCAGTTAGTAAACTTACTTTGTCATAATAATTGCACGTTTCTACAGGATTTTTCTCAAATATGCATTGGTGGGATATCAGCAAATATACTACTTAGATCTGTCAAGAACACGGTGGAAAGTACAATACAAAAATGAGTATGATGTAAAAGACAACCACAACGATGCTGAGATATTCTGAAAACATAGACCTCGGCCCAGATCGAACCACGGTTGCCCTTTCCCGTGGGGCTCATATATAACACACTGTAACACGGACGCCCTTGCTCTGCGTTTCTCTCAGCTAGTTTTTTACCCAGCGCTGCCGTCAGCAATCCCCGGATCAGTCTCGCTGACGGTCACTGCTGATAGCAACGTTACGTAGGAAACTAGCTGCGAGAAACGCAGAGCAAGGGTCTCCGTAGTGCAGTGTGTAGTACGTGAGCCCCTGGAAAGGGTAATCGTGGTTCGATCTGACCAGATTTCCGAGGGGTCCAAGTTTTGCAAATATCTCAGCATCGTTGTGGTTGTATTTCACATCATACCCTGCCGTGGAAAGTTATTGTAGGCGGAAAATAACGGTTAACAAAAATAAGTATTTTGAATATTGTAATAAAAACGAGCCACTAGAAGTTAGCCTTAGCAAGTTAGCGCCTAGAAAAGTAAACGACGAACCATTTCTCATTGTTGATATTCGTAATAGTCGATGGTGTTTTTCTTCCCAAACACAATTCTCACAAGAGATTTGGACAAATCCACAGGACAATCCAAATAGAGCTGCCATTGTTCATGACCAAGATTTCGTTTGATAGTAATATGATAGACGAGTAGCACGTGTGGAAATATTTCAAGAAAACAAAATGCTAAACTACTGCTGGTTAACGCCTATCACTTAAAATAAGATGGTGAGAAAAGCCACCATTTTGGGTTACCCTTGCGTTTCTACCGGTGTATTAGATTTCTCGCCTTTTAATTCGGTATGTCGAGAAGTCGCGCAGTTGCGTTGAACAAAGGCACTGATGAAGAAGCACAAAGTGAGTAGTTCACTTTTTTACAATAGAAAATTTCGATACATTGCTACAGTGGTTGTATTGATGCTGAGGTTTCCCATTGTGCATCCGTGAGATTGGATATCTGCAACAGTACCGGACGGATTTCGAAAATGATGACAAACGAAAACACTGTCATGATTTCATGCGAACGGAAAATAATTTGTGGAAATATATTCCGGAGGCAGTACTATGGTTCTTGTGAGCCAATGCTGTATTCGTGGTAATGATTGGCTGGACAGTGTAATATTATCGATATATTGTAGACCGATAATGGTATATAACCACAGTGATGCTGAGGTATTTTCGAAACACCAAACCGTAGGTGTCTCCCTCCGAGGGATTCGAATTATGTGGTGGTGAACGCGTTAGACACCGTAAAAGGTTATAGCGGGTTCGATCCTCACCGTAGGCACCCGTGGTCCAGAGTTTTGCAAATATCTCAGCATCATTGTGGTTACATTTCACAGCACACCCTGCCAAAAAAAAAGAATGGGTAGTAGGTAAAAAAGTGATTACGTGGTAATGGTGTAGTTGTTACGATCATCGCTAACGCTTTCATGCAGATTAACTGCATAGGAAAGATGATAGCTGGGGTGTTGTCCGCACCGTGCTTGCCGCGCGGTTTCCTCTTCTTGTGTTTCAGCTGCGCCAAATTCAGAACTTGCATAACCAGACATTTATATAAACATAAATGGATAATGAACCAATTCAAAACAGAAAAATTTAGAGGAGTGAAATCCAAATAGGAAGAAGGGACGGAAGGGAAGAGCGTCACATTAGAATAGCACTCATACACCACTTTGGAATAGGTGGATTTTGCTGCGTTTTAGAAATCATATGTTGGTCAAGACCATAAAGTCTCTAAGGAAGTCGACAGTGATATCATCGGGTCATGAAGCTGTGCCTGTTTTCATTCTTTCTAACGCAACTCGAACCTCCGACGAAAGAATTCCAGGTGGTTTTCTCTAACGGGATTTTAGGGTCGGGACGGAGATTCTGGAACGGAAAACGTCGGCGTAGAACGTTACTTTTATTAGTTCCATATCACAGCGGGAAGTTTTGACGAGCTCATCTGTGTTCATCAGCGCTGACAGCGGAACATTGTAATCACACAAGACGACGCTTTTTCAGACTGCTTCCTTTCCCAGCTGTTTCCAGCAATTTCTTCTTCCCGTACCGATGTAGATCTTCTTGTAAATCTCTTCAGCAGCTGGCATTTATTACTAGCCGTGTTAAGCGTGTTGCAGTAGGATCATGCTTGAAACGATTAGGCGATCCAAACTTTATTTGTTAGTTAAAATCTTTAAATTGAGAAGGTGGCTTTCTGTATGCCATAAATGATGTTGTTTTTTATTGTTTCATTGGAGAAAATATTCAAAAGAAAACCATCCCGAGCACGTTTACGAGGAGCACTGGAACCGTTTCTGGAAAGGTGAACAATTTATCTTCAATTTATTCCGTTGTGCTTTTGACGAGATCGACAAGAACGAAAAACGTCAAGTTTTAATGTGAAATCAGTAGCCCTTCGTAGACACATTCTCGGGAAGCCGTCTATTTTAGGAGTTGGTCCAAAATACCAAAAACATTTGCTTCTCTTAGCCCCATATTCTTCTCTTTCATGGACATATCTTTTGCAATTCTTACATCATCTTACGTAATCATTTCGGTAGCATTCGAGGCAGTTTAGAAAGGTTTTATTGAGTTTTTTCTTCTTCAGATGGATAACCACCACATTCCGAGCTCATACCACCGAATCGAATGCATGTGCTAATGAAGTGAGAACATATAAATACCTCATCCTCACTGACTTCCAAAAATAGTCAAATTTTGTCCATAACTGTACGGAAAACAAATGGAGTTTAATGAAGTATTGGAGGCAGTAAAGACATAAGATTATGGAATAGACTATGATTGTAGCAAAGTAATAGACAAAGAATAGAGAGTGAGTAGGAATGTTAGTATAAGAATGAGAGGAGAGAAGGAGAATGAATGGAATGGATGAAAAGAACGGAATTAGAATGACAGAGAAATAGATAATCAACTAATGAAGCGCGAACTGTTAACTAGGAGTATAACAGGTTGTGGCTTGCATTCCATGCTTACACGACATGACGCATATTTAGGGGATTAGTTAGTGACATGTGCTGCCGGCATATTTCTTCCAGTGCTATTCGTTAGAAGTTCAGCTTTTCGCACCGATACCTACAATGTGCGCTTTGTATGCCGTCACACAAGCTCTTCCGAAATCCAAGTGCAGTAGTGTCCGAGATCTTTTCGAATTCAACGTCGAATGCCTGCATGGTGGGTCATGGTTGTTCGACAAGTCTTCATATAGTCAGGAAAGTAACATGTAAACAACTCTAATTCGGTTAACACATAACGAACGATATGAAAGTATAACCCATACGCGGGAACTAGAGCAGCCTCTATTACCTCTATTATGGTTTATCCCAGTTCTGATCGCTCCTTTTGGCTCACAGAATCCTTTTCTTAAGTTCTAATAATTAGTGGATAGCTTATCCAGAACAGATACTGTGGCGAGTGTTGGCCATGAAGGGCTCTATTCTGTATATAGAAATATAGAAAAACTCGAACGAGTTCACTGACTGCCAGTTTGACTGGCAATTAAATGTTATTTCGTCTACCCACTGTAATGAGTCATACTTATTATACGGAACATGTAGGTATAAAAAATAACTGGAAGAAAGGACGCAGCATAAGCGGCAAAGAACTTCGCAATGATTATAATTTGATGCATGATGTGCAATGCTTGTACGATGGATCGTAGCATAAAGGATAAAAGATAAAGGATAAAGCTCTCGGCGTTGATCAATCCCTGAGGGATGTGCCTGCATTCGACTTCATTAAGCATCGTTTGGAGGTGATTGAATGCATACTTGACCTTTACAATGACTCGCGGTAGTCTACTGATGTATCGAGCCAGTCATCTTTGACAAGTCTGGTACCAATCTGCCAACTTCGGAGGTATTGAAAGTTTGGTGGGCCTTGGGCGCGGGGATCGTTTCCATCTGTGTGTTGCAGAGCTCCTCCGACCACTGCGCCACATGCGCCCCTAGTAAATCATACTTTTCATTTATACCCATAGAACGATAGAGTAGAGTTTCTTCTATAATGCAATCGTGTTCTCACCGCTTTAAGTCTCATAACTATACAAAAATTACTGTTTATTGCCACAACGAACGGTTCGCAAAACTTGGACCTGGGCCAGATCGAACCACGACTACCCTACCTGGGATTCACGTGTAGCACACCGTGTGTGGTGTACAACCGAGGCACTTGCTTTGCGTTTCTATCAGACGCTTTTCTACCTAACGCTGCCAACAGCATTAACCCTTCTGCTGGGTTGATCTGGAGAGCACAAATCGGAATTGAACCCAGTTAAGCTGAGGCAATATTTCCAGTTCTAGTTCCCCAGTTAAGCTGAGGCTGTAGTCACAAAGTTAACTTTTTATTTGCCACCTGCTACAATTTTCCACGGCAAGGTATGATGTGAAATACTGGGTTCAGTGCCGATTTTGCTCCCCAAATCAACCCCGCTGACGAGTGGTTGCTGATGGCAGCGTTAGATAGGAAACTAGCTGAGAGAAACCTAAAGCAAGGGCCTCCATTGCTGTTTATTGTCGAGAACCAGCAGGTCCACAAACGTTGAAAATTGGGCGTTGTTAAACTGTAGTGACGCTAAACACCGGGTGTTCGTTATAGAATAAAAGAATAGAGACGCCATTTGGTCAGATTTAACATGATCTTAACTGCGTTATAGTGTGACCTACGTAGGAAAAAGAGGTTATAATGAGTAGCACGAACCTCAAGGCCATTTACTTTTTTTGTAATGCACCTTCTCTATCTTAGTGTTTGAGCAAGCACTAATGTTACAGTATCAAATCTCTCTTAAATCACCTGTAAATTTGATCTCCACCAGTTCAGAACTTCGAAACTGCATCGCTTCTCAGCCACGACTTTCGCCTTCAACAGTCTATTCTTTTCTAAAGATCATTGTGGATGACGATGAGAAGACCCTAGTTTCGGACTCGTTCATAAGGAAAATGAAAGAACTCTTCACAGATGAGGTCACAGGGATTTTGCCAAGAGTGCCAAGTTTTGTAAAAATTTTTGAGCTGGTCGTTTTAATAAGAGTATGCCTTATTTGTGTTCAGGTAGTTCTAGCGTGTAGTCCTCAAAAAGTAGCACGATTTCTTCGCTCTCTCACTGGTGGAGCTATTGATGGGCCACGATCTGTTCACGGTCTCACATCTTTTTACACTACAGCGGGTCTTAAAGCTCGTTGGTGTGGGAAGGTGAACACCTTTATTCCAATAAAAAACTGAAAAAAGAACTAAATCTATTTATTATTTGGAATGTCAGATCCACTAGTGTTAAGTGCTAGGAACCTCCAATGTTGCATCGTTCCTTGAAGGCGGTCGCAGTCAACTCGTCAGCTTTCGCTTCCACCTACTCCTTGCGCCAGAAACACCCATTTATTCAAGTGGAAACGGATGCTAAAAAAATTAACGTGCATAATTGTGAGGTAACTATGCCATCGAATTACGGTTTTTCCGGTATATTTACTCTTTACTCAGCCGTTTGACACAAAAAACCGCAATGACAACGATGTAGAATCAGAAGTCCGGAAACCTTTTCAGATATGGGAACTTCCTTTAAAAGCGGGTTCTGTGCAGTTCCACCTATGCCTTATCCGTCCTCGTTTTCTTGGGGACATATTAAAGCTGAAAACGCAAATGCTGGGCCAAGATTTGAAAGACATTCTGAACGAATTGTTGAAGACCAAGGTTTGGGTCTCTTTTGAGGCTAAATACAAAATTCGAACTTATGGCCAGCTTCATGTAAACGATAATGATTTTTTGAGCAATCACGATTCAGAGCCAGCACTGCAAATTACTGCTACCAGTGTTTTCGCTAAAATGCGAAGAGAATTTGGAGCACACATGGATGAAACACGGTACTGCTTGGAATCTTCGTTGATCCAGAGATTTTCAGTTGGCTCACCTCTTCAGGAACTGGGAATATGGGTGAAGATGCCGTGTTGCCACCGTTTGACGCAATTTGGAATGTAACTAAGCTGTCGATTAGTCTTGAAGGTGTCAATACACTAGACCTTAAGCTCGCGGTAGGCCTTAAGTGTTTCAAAGTTATATCTTATAGAAATAACGACTGCTTCGACTATGATGACTATTGTAGCACATGTCTATGCATTCAGTGTGAAATTTTCATGTGTACATTTCAAATATTTCACAGATTTCTTCAGATTTATAGCCTTGTCAAGGTCAAGATTCAAACAGAGTTTTAAATCTGTCACATTTCCATAATGCATAGTTGTCTCTTCGATGCCTTTTGTCCGCTAATTGTGGCGACTGAGGAGCGAAAACGCGGTGCATACCGTCTTCAATTTGTAGTGTTCTGTCGAAGGGCGCAGCTGGAAAGGTAACACGGATCTGGAATGGAGTGCTGGAAAATCTATTTCATGACACTCTAAAAGTATCTGTTTCATAAAAGCTCACCGACGATTACTGAGTAATCGGCGCAGCGTTTCAACCGAGTTCCACTCACGAACGGTAGACTTGGGTTCTGTGGACAAAGGCAACTCTGCCTGCAAAGACTTCGAGTGATTTGAAAATCTGATCACGTTTGATAAATACGCTACTCAGTAAGCTCGAATTATCTGCGGATCTGACCACACTCGACCTAAACTGGATCGGCTACCATGAACTAAGACATTGAACATTAAACCCCCACGCTGTGAATGATCACGACCGATCTCTGAGGATCAGTTTTGTGAATTTCCGCTTATTCAGCAGCAGTGACAATATTTTCCTTGGGAGATTGTAGCTTCATATGAAAGTCTGCTTACCAGGATGAAAAATACAGTGGCTTCTGGATCTCCAGCACTGAGGCATACCAGCTCGGCCAAAACCCTGTCTTGTGGCAAGCCCATGATATAGGTCTTTTGGCACCCGTCGGACATGGTGTGCATGAAATGGGAATGGTTGGAAGTGAAAGAGATGGTCGAAACCACACAGAGCAGCTCCGCAAGTCGGTGCTGTCATTAAGGAAAAACGATTGAAACTACACAGTGCGGTCTTGCATGAAAACCCTCAGTTTAATCTCGGAAAGTGAATTCGTAAATAACTAAAGAAGCGGGATCAGACTTCCCTTGCCCCATCCAACTTACAATGCAGACAACGTGCCTTCGGAACATCACTTGTCTAGGACCCATGAAGTACAACAAATCACCAACATCTTCGAATTGCACCCGTCTTCTAAGGTTAAGGGGATCTGGTAGCCATAGCAAAACAAAATGTTGATAACTCCAATGATGCTAAGATATTTGCAAAACTCCGGACCGCAACTGTCTGCGGTGAGAAACGAACGCGTTTTTGTGCTTTCCTCCGGCGAGTAACGCGTTCACCACAACACCATGTGGGTCTCTCGTTTCGCCTTTCTCTCAGCTAATTCTATCGATCTCTGCCATCAACAATCATCCGTCAGCGAGATTGATCTGGAGGCCCAAATCGGCAACGAACCCAGTTAAGCTGAGACTGCAGTTATAATCACAATTTTAACTTATTATTTACTATTTCGAAACCGACTTTCCTTGAACCTCGGTATCACTAATCAATACGTACTTTTTTTTACATATTATTTACTGCCTACTCTTTTTTTATCGGCAAGGTATATTGCAAAATTTAATTTCACTTTATAACTTTAACTTTATAACGCAATATGTCCTGCCGTTAAAAAAAAAGAGTAGGCAGTAAATAATAAGTTAAAGTAATGTTGGTAACGTTGACCATTATACTGTTGATTAAAGTTATTTTGAAAATAAATAACATTCGAAATGAAAATGTGTCAAAATCTGCAAGGACTTATTTTCCTTAGCAGTTGCTAGTGGAAATTAGGTCTTCGAGTCAGTTCTTGGCACCTTATGATCACTAGCTTTGAGTAGGATACTCGACTTCGTAGAAGTTGCCACGCGGGACTTTTTCGTACTTGTCGCAGAGTAATGGCTCAAACTTGGGTAATTAAACCGTTTATAACAATAATAATTCAAAAATAACGAAATATAAACATTGCTACAATACAGACTGCATTACCATATCCGTGATGGTTTGGAACAGATGCAACACACAAAGGGTTCCGATTGTATGGAAAGAGTGTTTCTCACAAGGGATGTTTACGACAACCAAAGTTTCTCACAATGAAGTGAAAACGTTTACATGCTGCAAGATCGCAAAGCGTTGCTATAGGCCACGAATATGGTTGCCACAGATCTACGATGTGATGACTGAATAGTAATTATTCTGACAATAGTTGCTATACTCCCCACCCCACAATAAACTACTACATCCGGTAGTAGTGTCATAAGCGTTGCTTACCTTGTTAATCTGGTTGATCGCTGTGTCTATGTCGTGAATACACTGGATTGTTCCCTTCTGCGAATGAAACTGTTGGTAGATGGTAGGGTTTATTAAACGGGTATCTCGGACATATCGTAGTATGTCTCCATTTGGCGTGTGATTACTGCGATGTCAGTAGTATGACCGAAGTTTGGGAACATAGCAGTTGTGATTGTGTAGTGGTGAGGCGTTGAGTATACTGCCAAGTAAATGAAGTGGTGGATGTGGGTAATTGGTGTTGCTTTAAAAAAAAAGAATGGTAACTTGAAGGTGGTCTTAACCTTTAGAAAATTCGAGTTGTTGCAGGTGTACGAATACTAATAGGATAGAATAGGCGTAGTATGGTGGAAGATGTAGGAATAGAATATGAAGTGCGCGTGGGGAAATACAGTATAGAAATTATTGAATAATAGCGAATTTTCGTTGTTTGAATCTATGGTATCTCATCGTTGTTAGGGTTTAGTGATGGATAATGTCTCGATGTGGAAAGGATTTTTGGAGAGTTAAAGTGTTAGATGTTTCTGCATCGTCCTTACGTAAGAGAGTGTCTCGTGATTGTCCTTCGGGATTCTTGTTTTGTTCACGATTGTCAGATGTAGTTTTCTTACACATCATGTACGTTGTCAAGCCGTTTAATATTGCTGCTAGCATTTTAAAACTTTTGCCATAAAGATCGTATGGCAACTTTGAGTTAAGCGCTATCTCTAAGATCCAGAATAAAAGTTTGAGAAAAGTGATGATTCCAAGGATTCCGGCTGAAATGGTTCCCAGTTTAACAAAGTTGCCCCATATGCTAGAGATTAGGCCTGACTGTAGAGAGTTGATTTGAGTATCTGTGATCAATCGATCTATTCGTATATGGTCCATCTGGGGCCCGTGACCCATTGCGCCTTTGATTATCACGTTACTAATTGCTTGTCGTTCCACCGGGAACATTAGCTGATTGACCATTGTATCGACTTCTGATTGTGAGTGTATTCCTCCTATAGCAATCGACATTGGTGAGGTATAAGAAAAGGTGTGGTCTCGCATAAGACGTATGATCTCGGGAGGCTTGATGGCGTGGATTTCTCGACCACTTGCTATCCATGATGCGAATATGTGATATTTTGGCATTAGTACTGGGTTGCAGTTTATTTCAGTTCCTTGGCGTGTAAGAACGTGACTTCGTGGGAGCATATACCTGGATTTATTATTCGCCATAACTGAGAGTTCTAAATAGCAACGATCTACGCGTCGTATTGAGACATCTACCATGGAACATTTAGATATGTAGATGACCTCTCCTATTACATTAGCGTTGTAGCCAGGTCCTTCCATGTATAAACAGGCAAATTCGCCGGGGTTTAAGGAAGCTGTTGCTAATTGTGTTTCCCGTGTTCGACGTTCTAGTTCACATCTTTGTGTTTCGATTTTGTTGCTAAGGGCGTTGAAATTTCGTGCCCACGTTCGATCAAAATACAAATTTTGCATTTACGTACAGCACAAGATCAAATATTACAGGAGATGCTTCTGATTTTTGGAAGAAAAATCCTCCTTCTAATTGATGGGCAACTATTAGTCTTAGATGTTCGGTTGTCCATGCCCCAATTGCACATCCTTGATAAGGGCCTATTCTACGTAATGCGAAAACCTTATCCCCCTGTTCAACAGTACATATGATGCTACTAGGCTGTAAAGGATCTGTATGAGTTGTGTTGAGAACTATAGCAGGTCCTTCGTAAATGACTGCGTGTTGATGTGGTGGGCATGCGGAAATCGGCACTTTCCAGTATGCTTCTCCTGCTTCAAAATCAATGCACGTTTCTGTTGACCACTTACACACAAGACCTCTTGGCACATGTATCTGATGCTTTTGTGTGTTAGCAGGCGCTACAATTTGTTTAAGACTTATCTCTATGGTTCTACTGGGCTACTACATTCTGCCACGATCCGAATTGGTCGCTATACGTAGTTCCTTTACAGGTTCCATCGGGTCCTATGTAGCTTGCTAGCGTGAGTGATCGCATAGTGACAGTATTTTTCTTGAGATCTGCTATTATAATATTGTTTGTCAGTTTTAATGATCCGCTAAGCCATAGTTCATCGCATGATGGTCGTCGTAATTCGTATATATAATCAGCAATGCCTCCTGTGACTTCGCTTGTATGACTGTGCATTCCGCAATAATGAATATGACGTTTTGTACGGACTTTGCATAGAGTGACTTAACATCGATTTTTTCTGCGATCTGTATAAGCTGTATGATGGACTTTGTTTGACTTGTAGTCTCGAAGTGAATGTCACATGGAATAGTAGAGGTGCGATCTATTTCAGTTATGTTGACTCCGCTTATTGTGCAGTCGTAAGCTCTGAAGGCATTACATCGTGATAATGATAGTATTGCCATGATTATGGTTAGCTGTACCAGAGATGAGGTATATCTTAGGTAATGTTCAGTGGATATACCTCTAGTACTGTGATTAGGATACTCATCATCATAGGACAGAAACTGCTGGAGATCGCATGAGGGTAAATGCAATTCATGGTCGTCATTGTCTTGATTAAGATGTTGTTGATGATTAGACGCTGATGATTGAAGTGAGTGAACGATAGCAGTACGTGATCGCGGTCGTAAGTTATAACGTTGTTCTGAGCAATTCTTCGTATTTTTGTTGAGCAAACGCGAGGTGTTATTATTTTGTATTCACGAATAAGCTGACGTTTCGGCGGATTTCGCCTTCCTCAGAGCCTGGAAAGGTCAAGTTGATAGCAATCTACTCGGCCAGACGCCTCCATAACCAAACAAAGAAACTCTAAACCAAGATTTCAATCACATTGAACACAGCTTTGCACACTCACCGCTTTCTATGAGGTTTCCACTAAGAGCCATACACTTTGCTGGCGTCTGTGAAAAGGATTAGTTTGGTATCAAGATCGAATTGAACATTGTAGAATATAGGTTTCGAATACGTTGAGATTTTCCACTTTTTTTCCCATTGTTCGGCATGTTGTTTTGAGAGTGGTGTGTCCCACGTATAACCAAGGTTCCACAGAGTTTGAAGAAATTGTGTTCCTCGTACTGTTAGTGGCGTGAGCCATCCTAAAGGATCGTAGATTGCTGCTACCTGTTCAGCCACTGAACGTTTGGTTGGTTTTGATTTATATGGATCATTGCATGAGAGAAGTATTCTGTCGTCTTCTGAATCCCGTGCTAATCCTAAAACTTTTTGTTGAGTGTTTAATGTTATGTCCTTTGAGGGAATCTAGCGGACCAAAAGACCAATTGAATCTAGCGGGTCTAGATATAATAAATGTGAATTAACAAGTGTTATACTTTAGTTCTTACATCAATATGAGCTTGTTAGATTTGTTAAGCCTACTCTTATAAAAGGTAAAAAGCATAAATCACTGGGCGTTGATCAATCTGTGAGGGATGCTCCACGCATTCAACTTCGTTAAGCATCGCTGGAGGTGACTGAATGCATATCTGTTCTTTACAATGACTCGAGGTGGCCTACCGATGTATCGAGCCAGTGCTGCTATCCTCCCAGACAAATCTGGTACCAATTTGCCGAGTCCGGAGGGATGGAAGGCTTGGTGGGCCATGGGCACGGGGATTGATTCCACGAGTATGTTGCAGGGCGCTTCCAACCACTGCGCCACACATGCCCTTCTTGAAGCGTTAGCCGAATAAAAATTTTTTTCATCGTGTTGATGAAAAATGAAATGAAAATGAAAAATGAGTCAATGAGAAAACACTCGATTATGACCAGTTATGCCGAGATTAACGGAAAGTTGATTTTTGAAATATTTATATATACTAATGATCTCTGTCAACGTTTCTGAACATAAAAAGCGGAGAACATGAACAATTAAGTAGTTCAAAAGACCGCCTTCCTATAAACCTAGGCGTAAATAATCGATATAATGATTTATGTGTTCTTATGAACTGATCGTGTTGAGCTGATGCGAGGTCGGCATAAGTTGTTGGTGTTGCTGATGTTGTTGGTCGACGACCGATGTTTCGGCGATTTCGCCTTCCTCAGAACCGTGCTGATAGGAATGGGATAGGTGGAATGGAATAAAAATGAACGACTTTCATATCCACTGCTATCAACTGTGGACGTTCACGATTATATATGAGGCATCGATGAGAGATGATGTAAAGCTTAAATAACGGAAAGGCAAAAGTGAATGGAAAGTGATGTCGGTTGTGGCTCATCGGTTGCGCTTTCTATGCGAAGGACCAGCTTATCTTTTTGTAATTTAGCCAAATCCACTTCTGCCTCCGTCTTATCGCTCTTACTACACCTCGGAGGATTTGTGGCAACCTCATCCAGCGCCTGGAACTTCTATCGACTCTTCATTTCTCTTCGTAATCACTCAACGAGGAAGCATACCTCTTCTGGCTGGGTGCTATGCGGGTCATCCGCCTCCTTCGAATGCCGCATTCACATTGCTCGCTCCGAATAGGTAAAAGGACAAAATAAAAATTCACCATTGTGCCCTTTTTTAACAATGAATTTTAGGATTAGAAGTAAACCGCCTCCGAAAATCGATCCAAGACCCAGCGTAAAATTAACCAAGAAGCAGAAAAAGGCTCTGAAAGTACGTCGTCAGAGAGCAGCTAAAATAAAAATGCGAGCAGAACGTCCACGAAATAAAACATTGAAAAAGAAAAAAGAAACCGACGATAGGCTGGTGGTGGGTGTTACCAACCCTGTACCTCTGTCAAAATAATATCTTCTTTAAATCGATAGATATATCTTAGGTTATCTGTGTTCCTTTCCCTCATTTCCACCACGTTGTTTTCACTTCATTTCACTTTTGCAACCTTGTTAAATTCAAGAATTATTATCACAGTTACTGAAAAGCAAACAATTTTGAAGCAAAGACCATGTAATGTTCTAATAACTCGAAAAGGACAAGGCAACTGAAATTATTGCCTTAAGCAACGAACTGTTAGTTACCTTAACTTTCTACGAACCGACTCTACGCCAAGAACCCCTCGGCTAAACCCATATCGTGTGTCTGGACCTCTCAGTGCACTTCTTTTCCTCCAACACCTTGATGAATCCATTCTGTTGCTACTCATGTCGACAGCTGTATTAAGCATGTTCCATCGGCACGTAATAGTAGGCGTGGGAACTGTTGACTCAAACCCCCACCTCCATTGTGCGCTTTGCAGAAGGCAAAAAGGGTTTGCAAAAACTAAAACTGTGTGACTACTCACAAAGACCAAAGTCGAAGGTCCTATCCCCACTACTTCCTGAGACCCGTTAGCAGTAGCTTAACTATTGGTTTCGAAGTCTGTACAGAAGAATAGCGATTGTATGCACAAACGAAATTCCACTCGCTTACTGCCTTGTGTAGCATAAATTCATTTTAGATAAATTCGCAATATTTAAATGGGAGTCTTTTTAGGGTCGAGCTTCCAACAACTATTAATTTTGGCGACTACATCCTGGATCATTGCATCCCTCTGTGATAGATACGATTTATAACAAATTTTATTTAGTTTGTCCGAGTAAACAAAGGAGTTGCAACTCTTCAACAAATTGTCATGCGATGAAACACACCTAATAGATAGAATTTTGACCGCGCACAATCGCTACCGGCAATGGAAACCATAGAAAGTGGTACATGAAGAAAACAAAACAAATTCGAGTACAAGGAACTGGGGAACTTCTCATCAGTAGAAAACAGCGTACATTTGATGAAAGGCGAATAGAAACCACATCAGAACCACATTGTACGTATTGTAGGTATCATCATTACTTTTTTCGCCAATTTGTATCATTTTCTGCACCGATTCCACGTGATTGGACGCGTTTCACGTCTCCACGATACGGCCCCAGATCACGTATTGGTGTACTACCTTAAAGATATCTGTTACAGTGTCTCATGAACTGTTAGAGAGAAAAGATATACCTGGCTGTTGTTGTTGCACTTGGCTTTGAAGTTTAGAAGGAATGAATTTCGAGCCTTCTGCAGGTTTTCTGAATGCCGGTGCTGAATAAGCCATGTATTACGGAAAACCATGAAAATTGATATACACCAAATAATAGCAAAACTTCAATTACTTGCGGAAGATAAGGGATCCTTTTTGACCACATTTCCACGAGTCCAAATCCCTTTGCTGGTAGTACTAGACGGCAGATCAATAGTCCGACGAGGTGCAACGTCTGAAAAACCATACAATGCGTCGTAACAAATCACATGTTTAACCACCTTATCCAAATAAGAAATCTACCCGGAAGTTGAGGAGAAGGACGTGGAACTTGTGACATGCTGCTTCGCCAAGAAGTATCTTCATCCGCAATACTTGGCACCATAGCTAGATGTAGTATAAAGTAGATGACATCACATGCAATCGCTGTGACCATTATGTGAATTCAGGTCATTACTAATGTCCCCATTCGCCTCTGCTGTATACCACACCTGCCCAATGGACGCCGCATATACAAAGCTTATGAATACACATTTTACGAAGCATTTTATCCGTACTGCTTCTATGAAATGGTACTCAAGGGTAGCTCGCTGAGCTAGCCCGAAGTAGACAAAGGATTACCCGTTGTAAAGACAGTGGATTACTTCTAAGGCATTCGCCACTCACACAGACGCAGGATTTCGACTAAGTCGACGCGCAGGATAGAATCCGCATACAAATAGACATGCACACGAACATTATGATACATGTGGACATGGAAATTACAAGTTAACTAGGGTATAGAGAGGAAACTTATTGTGAAAACTCAGTTGCGTCTAAAAACAACAGTCGCATATGGTCCGCAGTCGCAACAGTTTAAACAGACGCACATGGTCCGTATGCAACCCTCTAATCACCACGTGTAAAACGCGCTGCAGCCTCGCAACTAACCAAACAGGGATCGAAATTTGGCATAGATATGTTATACAGATAAACAGAATAAGTAGCACGAAAGCAAAACAGTTACAAAAATTTCCCTCACGTTGCTGACGTTCACGGAAACCAACTGGTGGAGGGACAACAGATCCCATATTGTTTCGCCAAGAGTCGTCTTTGTCGGCTTGTGACACTATATTCTAAACTTCAAACTCACAATAAAGCGACAATTCAATTTCTGTAAGTCAAAACTTTTCTGCTTTGCCATTTAAGCTTATTGAGTACGTTACCAAAAAATGATGAAGAATGAAAATGTGTACAGAGTACTAAGAAATAACCAAAGCCCTCAAACAGAAAATTGAGGCAAAGGCGAAAGCGAACTTTGTCACCATGAAATTTAGAGAACCACTTATGTAGCTGCATATCTACATATCGTTTTAACACATTACTTGCTCAACAATTCCCTATATAATAATACGTGTTCTGGAACCCAATATACTGTCATTTCTTCACCCGACTGAACATTACGTTTTGTGCTTCCAACATTCATTCAATCGCACTCATCATCCACGAAAGTCTACTGCTTCATGGGTTCGGCTGCTGCTTTAGGACTTTTAGTATTTCCTATCACTGTTCTGGAATACTAATCAAATCAACTCTCCCTCTAAACCTGGTATAGCTGTGAATGGGCGTTGTTCCCAGATGTTCATTACAGATTGGTAGTATTTCTCATGGATTGGAAGTAGCCAGTTGATCGCGGCATGGTAATGATCGTCTGACCATGAAGATGTGCCAGGTCTAGTGTTTTCGGAGCGCAGTTGAATCAGTGTCTCGTTTGTACTCAACGAAATGACTACCACTAAATGAAATGAAATGTTACTCCGTTCCTTGTTATTGTAAACCCTTATGAATGATGCTTTCGAATCACGAAAACCACTTTTTATGTAACGAAAAAAGTAGCCATTTTGAATGTTCTGAGAACATGTACGAAGGATGGACTTCCGACACACAATGCAGAGGCTTCTGAGGTTGCACACGAATCTCCCATACCGAAGGTCGTGCAGATGACGAGACCTATGTAAACGTGATAATCGAAGATGAACATCTAAAACCTATGTGACAAAATTCAGAACAACTATCTAACCAACAATCGATTCGCAAAATATCAGAAAGGTGGGAACTCAAGGAAAAAGTGCCGCATTGATTTAATGATTTGCACGGGGGTCGACACCGTAAAGTTCATTCTGCGCTTCTTTTATATGAGATAGACAACACGTTTGTCGAACAAACTGTCACATATAATGGAAGCAGACAGTATACACACAACAACCGACGATGTCCGGTTCAATTGTTGGAACAAGACGAACCTTCTAAGCATTTTCAAAACCCAATTTGGACCATAAGATGACTATACAATGTACTAGAACGTTTTCAATCTCGAAAAAAAAAATGAAAACGACAAAGAAGTAAGGCCACAAAATCGATTTCCAGCATGCACAAGTTTAATCAATGTAAATACGAAACTGTCCTTCACCCAATACACCCATGGGACCACTCGCTGACCGTTTACTTTTCCAATTTAACGAAGAAAACGCTGCTAAAACTGCCTTCGAAGAATTCATCGCATTAAAATCTTCAGAATCTTACTTCACCAAACTGAAACCTGTGTTTGAAAGCATCTTCAAAGATCTAAAATCCAGGTCCAGAACAGTAATTGTTTTTGCATCATAGTAAAATAATTCAGAATGAATCAAACAAACATCTCTCTCCCAAACAGGTTGTCTTTCAGCGTTATCCCGATCACGACCAAAATGTGGACGATTACTCATAACAGGGCGTTCTCGAAATCCACCTCGCCAATCTGAATCCGCCATTGCTTTCGAGTCGATGTCTATTTCGCGACGACTTGGACCCTAAACAAGAGAGAGATAGAGAGATGTTCTTTCATATAACCAAGCAGAGATTAAAAACAAACCCGTGGCTCTCTTGCTGCCCGTCGCTGTTCGTCAATTAGTTGCTGTCGTTGCCGTTCTTCTTCTTCACGCCTTCGGCGTTCCTCTTCTAATTTCGCCTTGAAAAATTACAGATATGAACCATGCATAAAACAAGATTTCGAATTAATTTTTGAACTTGAAGACGAGGCCTCACCCTGCTCCACTTCTCCCGACGTTCCTTCTTACGCTGTTCTGCTCTTTCCTGGAGCCTAGCCGTTCGCACAGCGTTAAGTTTATTGTTCCATTCAGCAACCTTTACGATTAAATGAAACTAGTTGAAATAACTTAAACTTTTCGAAATATCTCCATTCACTGTTGCTACTAACAACTAGCAACTGGCTTACTATTAGTCTAGTCTGGCTTACATATAAATTTTATATTTACTTTCTTCGCAAAGTCGTCCGCGTTCGACTCTTTGACTTGTGAAATCCAGTCCATGGCATCCTTTCGAACTTCTTGAAGTCGTTCCCAAATATTTACAGCCATATTGTGATCATCACTATAACCATGCACATAGCGTGACAGTAAGAATATACACTGTAAACGAAGCCAAGTGTAAAATACGTTTCTTACATAGCTTTTTGAATTCTTCTTTGTTCGAACTTATCGTGCAATTTTGGGGCTTCTTGGAGGCGTTTCATCATTATAGCTTTTCTAAAAAAAATTTTCCTTCCACTACGAATACCTTGAGGGAACCATCTACTCAACGAAACTACAACAGAAGCATGAATAGAAAATTACAGTTAGGCAGAAGAAACATGAAACAATGAATACAATAATAAAACTGATATCGATGAGCTTAATATTAACATGCATAAGTAAAAACAAATATATCACATCACCTTTCTAACATTTCTTCAAGGTGTACAGCGCGAACATGATGATCAAATGTCTTGTCCTGCTGCTGGAGACGACGCTGAGTTTCCATCCGTTCTTTATCCAGTCGTTGACGCTGAAAAAAATTATGACTCATAGTTAGATACTCGGACACTTGTATAGCCCGTTTTCATTGGTTGTGCGGGACCCAGCATGATTTTCCTTGGTTGGGAGTTTTCCTGGTTAGGCCATTGTGGCTCCCTGGAACTCCGAGATGAACCATGCCAAGGTCTGCCCCACGTTGTCACCACAACGGGCAGTCGCAGCCCATGTGGATCAGAGGGAGATTTACCGCCATGCGACTAGTTTGGTAGCAGGAGGGTGACAGATCCTGGTATTGATATTGGTTTACGTTAGCTGGGCTTCCTAATGCAAACGCCCGACTCATTCTCAACTTGCGAGACCCTCCTAAAGGGATGAATCCACCTGCTGCACATCGCAGCCACCCAGGAACAACACTCAGCCATGATGAAGCAGTAAACCGTTGGGAGGATAATTTACAATTTACAGGATAACTTATAATATTGACGAAAGGATAGAATCGTTGAGAAAAATCAAAAATATGGTAACTAGCCTGTTCTCTCAACACAGCTTCTGGATCCATGTCTTTGAAAACCTGCTCTCCCTTTTCACGGACGATGGCCTGGTAAATCGCTGTATTCTGCATTCTACGCAACTGGTCCTGTTTAATTTTCCTTTGAACCTCTTCCTAAAATATGGCACAGTTGGACCACACACTGTGGAATAACGAAACCACTTTTTAACCTGCTCTGCTAGTCTACGTTTCCTTTCACTCTCAATGTTTTCTTGTTCAAGGCGTTTCATCTCTTCAGCACGCTTAGCTTCTTCACGTTTGGCAAGTTCTGCTGCAGCCTGTTGGGAACGCTCCGCCTTAACACGCTCTGATGTCTCCTAAAAGAAGTGCTGCTTCAACAGATGCCCTCTCATGGGATCAAGAAATCAGAATGCGATAATTTTCGACACTAACCTTGTAATATTCAATCTTTCTACGGCGTTCAAGTATTCTATCAGTCTCCTGCTTGCTATTCTTCGTGCGCTCGTAATTGATTGCATGATGTTTGACCTCAAATATAATATCGCAAATTTAGAGCGATGGATATGAAAAATGAATCTAAGAGACTACCGACTCTTCCCACGAAAACCATGTTCTTACCCTAATTCTGTTACAAATACTGTTCTCTCACAGAAATATCAGTGAAATATCAAAAAACAGTAACAAAATACCCGAGCTATTAGAGTTTCCATTCGCTTGTCACCATCCAAGAGTTCCACCGTGGCGCGCAGTTTATTGTACAACACTTCTAAATGGGCACGAATTCCCTCAACGCCTAGTTGTGTGTCGTCTCCTAAAAACAATATAATATATTACCTACTCTCATCCTTTGTATATGTATACATATATGCATGTGCATACACATGTATATGGTGTATACAAGTATATATATGGGTAAATGTATACACTATATATGTATAAATATGTGTGTATACATTATGGCGGGTGTAACGTAGTGGCCGAAGACCTCTTGTAATACACATTGGATCGACTTCCGGGCCACAAACTCACCAAGCCTTCCATCCCTCTGGGGTTGGAAAATTGGTATAAGTCTGATAGGATAGTAGCACAGGCTCGATACATCGGCACGCCATCGCGAGTCATTGCAAAGGCCATATATGCATTCATTCACCTCCAAAGATGCTCAGCGAAGTCGAACGCACGGCGCATTCCTCAGGGATTGATCAACGCCGAAAACCTTGCACATTTACGTGTATTATATATATATGTATATATACATATATATGCATACATGGGATGGGGGAACTGATGCCGTCGGCCAGGAAGCAAAGGAGCAAGCAAGTTCGACCCCTTCCAACGCTGTTCCCCCATCCACGTGTAAACAACTTAGACCAACTTTGCCCAAAAATTCAAGGAGAATCGAGTCCACCAGCATTCCACGACACTTGTAAAGAGGACAAAATCCTCAAACTACAGCTGAAACACGCGAAATGTACGAAGACCATTATGGACGGCGAATGTGAGAAAAACCGTATCGAGTGCAATAAGTGCCGCAGAGCAGATGTGATAACGGTTTACGTGAAAAAATAAATGTATCCATATATGTATATAAGTGCACAAGATAAACATATATGCGCGCATGTATAACATGTAAAGATCTGAATATTAGAAATCGGAAACTTGCCTGTGAATCCGTTAGCCTCTTCGAGGTCAACACCACCTGCTAATGTGGCGTCTGCTGCTCCAAAACGTATACAGCCACTTCGGTGATCAATTTGCGCCTAAAATAATATATTTATTAATTACTAGTATCCTAGCACTAACATATTGCAACCGCACATTATAGGGCAATTTTGAAGACGTACTTTAGTGTCTAAGAAACACAGATATTAAAAAAATAAGCGGTCCGACTGGTCTATAAAAAGCTCTAACGATCTGCGTAAGCATCTGAACAAAAATCCTTCTTTCAGAGAGTTCAAACCCAATATACAATCAGAAAGAGTTAGAGATCTCGTAGCATAGTTTACCAGAAACAATGTGGTACACACTTAAATGATACTGTTTTTCGCAAGGAAGCCTATGACATCGTCAAATGAATAAGAAAATAAGCTGAATATGACTAGCTGGTGAGTCTTACCTTCACAAATCGGTGCTTGCTAACATCGACTATCAGTCGTTCGAGCTCCATTTCATTGTAAAAAGGTATAATCTTTTGTATACGATTCCAACTAATTGAGTCATATATAACAGATATCTGAAGTAATAAGAACTATGCCCAATCAACCAAAGCTAGCAAAAAAATGAGAACGAAGGAGATAACCCACTTGTTTCAAGGCTTTTGTGGCCACAACCTCGTTAAGCGCATCCACATACTGTAAATGATCAGGGCGATCGATCAGTTTTAACTGAGCTTCCACTTCTTGAGCAAGCCTAAAAAGAATTTCTACTTTAGTTCTTCAACTATCCATACAATTTATTTATAGATACCTTAGAGGCGCAAAATTATTCTCAAGGATTTTATATAATGCATTTGTGGACTCAGAGGCCATCTCTGGAACACCGAGACGAGCAGCTTCTTTCAACAACCCAGTGCGTGTTGGAGCGATTGGGAGTCGTAGTAAATTTGAAAGCAATCTGGAAAAAATACATTTTTGGATTCAATATGGAATGCAAAAGTGCCAGAGTAGCTTACCGAATGTTAGTGAGATGCTGGTCTTCAATATCTAGGTGACGAGTGAGGTCCGATGGGGCATCTGCACCGTCAGGGATCGATAAGGTAGCAAGCAATACACGGCTCGCTTGTTCTTGTGCTTCGTCCGCAGTGAAAGACCGCTTCATATCCTGAAAAGTGGAACAACGCAATAATAGAACGACACATTTTAGTACTGTTTTCATATATAACATCCCTAAAATTCCAGGAGCTGAAGGAACTAGCTGGAACTAAGTAAGCTGTCTAACCTTGTAAATGATAAATTTCTGCAGAAGAGCAGCAGCATGGAATAAGCTATTCCCCGCCTTCCAGAACACCAAAGCAAGCTAGATACAGATTACAAGATTACTTTATGAGTGAAAAAGCACGGAAAAGTTATGCACTACCTTGTCATAATAATTAACATAACTCGCAGGCTTAACCATGCGTTTGTCTTTATCCTTGCTCAGCTGCATCATTCCATGGACGTCTTCAGCACTTCTGCAAAACACTTATTGTAAACTCGGCTTCAAAATTACCACAGCTTAAGGAAAAAAGGTGTGATGTTCCACCTGTACGCCTCTTGCCAAAGTTCCATTTGTATCGCTGTGTCAAGTTGGCAAAGACGTGTTTCCTGCATCAATGATAGAGACTCTGGCGAATTCAACTTCACTCTGAAATATGTGATCAAGAGGTCAATTCAACAGATTCAGTACTTAGCGAAAATTCACACAAATGTATCAAATAGGACTCACACGTGTGCTAAATGCTGGTGTTTTTGGATTTGGTTTAGATGAAGCCGTAGCAACTCACAGAGTTTTCGAAATTCGGTCCGCCGTTGATAATTGGCGCAAAATTGGAACGATTTCCTCGTAATGCGGTGGTAAAGATGTTCCACCGTAAACATATGATATTTTCAAATGAAAAAGGAAGGGAGAGCAAAAATGCAGTGACGAGCAACTCGTACCTGTGCATTGTTTCTCAAAAGTTCGAGACAGTTTCTGTAAGAATCCCACAAAAATCGTAGCCAAGGGGCAAGCACGGTCCTATCCATTCGATCTTGAGCAGCAGCACCAGAGACAACTGACAGGAGAAGCCTCAACCCAAGCTATGTAGTTGGACAAGCAAAGTGAACAATACCAATATCTCGATAAAAAATCCCCACGTTTCAGGAACGTCCCCCTGATCAAGATCATCAATCTCTTCCACTTTCTCAATCGACGTCTTTTGTGCTTCTTCAGTTTTCTGTTCGGCCATTTGCAAAAAGTGCTCTATAACAGTTTCTAGTGATTTCACAGCAACCTGAAAAGATCTTAAATGGTAATATTGCAGAGCTACAACTTCGAAACGATAGACAATAACCTGATGTGTCAACGCTTTGTACTGGAACAAGGCATCTTTGGCAACATGAGGCTTCTTCAACAACACACATAGCTCGACATGCTTCATCATAATTTGTTCATGAGTTTGAGTCCATTGCTTATACCGCCTCGCCTTCAAAACTTACAAGAAAGTTATCGAACTAGAGGCAATCAATACAATGGGAAACCTCTTACCTTGATGGTGTCGTGCAAAGTGTCGAGTGCATCGGACTCCTTTCCGACTTGAATCAACTCCTGGGCCCGCTTGAGGGCTGTTTCCGGTTTTTGGAAGAAATTAGGCGGCATTCAACAGCAATTCCTTCAATACTATAAAACAATGAGTCTACAGTCGATGACAATCAAAACCAAGCGAACAAATGAATCTGGGCCGAATGGCACCACGCGGAAACGACCTGCTCGGACTGGACATGCAAAAAACGCATTGTAATGAGTGGCGATGGATGAAACACATGCACGTATTTCTAAAGGGCCGACGGCTGTTCGTCGCAGGACCGCTCTGAAGACGTTCTGGTGGGTGCTCCCGATTTTGCCTGGGGGTTGATCCGACCTAATGATCTGGGGACAGGGACCAGTGGACTAGTTGTACTCTTAGACGAAGAGCTCAGGTTGTTTGTGAATGCGAAGTGGCGATAGCCAATGTGACTGCCTAGCAGTCACCGTTTGACAGAACCTGTTTGCTGAATATTGGTCGCTTCATGGCGAAATGTCTTCTTGTTACGAGCCGAAGTCTGGATGGAGTCCAGGGGAAGATCTATGCTGGTCGTTCTCCTATTCTGGTCATCTAGTACCTTTCCAGAGACACAGCTAGGATAGTAGATTCTTCATTGGTTAACCATTCAATGGTTATTGGCACTTTTCATATCCCGGCAGCCTAACAAGAGTGAATAGCCGGAATGTTTTCAGCATTCTTCGTGCGTGCTAAAAATCAGTGGAAGAGATTCTCATCTTATTGACAACCTTAATTTAACTACGTTAACTTTTTATTCACTGCCCATTACAATTTGCAGCGAAACGAAGGATCCGCATGGTGTGGTGGTGAACACGTTAGCGCGCTGAAAGGGCTATAGTGCGTTCATTCCCACCGCAAACACCTGCAGTCCTGAGTTTTACAAATATCTCAGGATCATTGTGGTTGCATCACTATTTAACAATTTGCTTCGTGCTGTTCTTATTTACGGAGTTCTCTTAATTACCGTAACTTCCCTAACTTAATTATACCCCTTATTTCCTTGTCAGAGGTTCTATAGTTTTATTTTTTCAAGCGGAAGTTTTCTTAGCATTTTTCCTTTGTGACTCGTATTTTAAGTAACGGGATTTCGTCCAGCAGAACGATGTCTCGTCGTTGTGCGACGCTATCGTTACGCTTGCGCCCAGAGAAGCTCCAAGATTTCGAATTTCGTTTTCATTCTCTATGAACGTTTTAATTCCAAACAGACCTCAGATCGATGGTCCGAGCTCTCCTCCATAGATCTCTGGAGTTTGCAACTCTTCAGTCCACTAAAAAATTGTAAGCAGTTGTTGGAAGACAAACGTTGTGTTTTAAAACTATCATTTTGCAGTTGAAAAGGTGAACGAAGTATATGAGGTATGTAGCAGCACCAGTTTTCTTGGAGATGAATTACTGTACTGCTCGACTAATATAAGCACGCACTCTTAGTAGGTTCGTTGTCCATGTGTCTGGATGCCAAGATCCCTGTAGGTGTTGCGAAGTACTGCAGAATTCATGTCTACCCATCCTTACTATTTTCTAGCTTCTTATTCCTATTCTTATTCCTACTAAGGCTGTCAAGTCCTTATTGTGATGGGCGCATGAAAATGACGATAGGAAATAAATTTGTGGTCGTTCCTCCAATTCGACAATGAACACATTCTGGAGTTGTTTCAACAGATGAGTGCTGTCCATCAGTAACCCCGATTGGGACTCGTTAAGTCTCACAGCCTGAGTTCTGGGAGCAGGATAAGCTGAAAAAGAAAACCGGGCACTACTTAGGTACTTTGGCGAATGCAATGAATCGAAAGATGACGTTAAGCTCACTTTTGGCTGTAAAATTTCGCGAAAACATTGTACAATAGGCGCTTGCTTGTTACAGGAGAATAGAAAGGAATACCTAGGGTTACGGTTCGTTAGCTTTGTGAGAACTTCTGAGCGTTCGTTTTAGCTGAGGAGATCGTTTTGAACATAGGAGTTGGTCAACTTGTTCAAATTGTTGAGCTTAGCATGCTTGTTGAGCTCTGATGAAGAGGAAGACGAAGCGTTAGCCAAATCAACTGATTTAGCAACCTCGTGTAGGCTAAACACTTTAAAGAAGTAATGACGGTCGGTTTAAAAGGAGGTGATCGTCCTTATCTTTTCACAGTAGGGTGGCAAGTCACCTTCTATTCGATGTTTTAGCAATCTGGTCCTAGTTGAGCGATAAATTTTCGTCCTAGCATTCTTTGATATAGTGAGATCTTAATGAAAAGGAGATCCATGGGAAAAAATACCATGACATTTACATATGTAGTGGCTTTTAATCTTTCATAGTTCAATATAGTCTCCATTTCTAGGCGAATACTTGTTTCAACTAGGTAGCATACTGTGTTTCAATGCTTAGTCGTTGCAGACCGGCGTGGAGCCAACAGAATCCTGCGCCGTCTAGTGGTAGCATGTCCATTCCACTATCATATCATGAAGGTATTCGTTTGAGTAAATCTCATTGATCGTGGAGATCTTCGCACTTAAAGCACTTAAACTGAAGACGTTGGCTTCAAAAGTCATGTCAGTCTGGACTGTGAATGCTTGGTTCTCATCATTTGTTTCTCACAGGTGTGTCTTGTGACGGGTGTCGCAGCGGGAACTTTTCCGGAAACCGATACAAGTGTCTCCGATGCTACGACTTCGATTTGTGTCAAGCATGCTATCTCAGCAATAGGTTTAGACCTGAAGGGAACGACACGACTTTGACTCATTCCGAGGACCATCCCATGCAGATGATCATGACACAACGGGATTTCGGTATCTTTTTTTCTAAATGATTTCATCCAATTTTCTTTCTCGAAGAACCCCCTCTTTTTCTTGTGTGGACGTGGTCACACGTCTTATCAGTTTATCTTGCAGATACGGTGTATGAAGGGGATAGTTCGAAGAATTACGATGCATGTCGAATTGCGTCATTTACTTGTCCATACTGTGGAGCTAATGGGCTCAGCCTTCGGAGTTTTGCAAGTCACATCCTTAGTTTACATGCTGACCCTCCAGTACCTCGCGTAAATGTGGTGAGTATTTTTCCAACCATAATTCTCGAAGTAGTTTGCGTTTCTTCACTTGTTTGCCTTTTCATTTCATATGTAATGGGTTGGCTATTGGTTGATCAGAGCCAGTGCTTAATTGTACCTCCTTGTCTTTGCTACGTGCTTGCTTGTCCTTTTGCAAGCACACAAAAATCGGTCGGATTGCAAAGTCTTCATGAGGAAATCTGGCGTCGGCCAATTTCCTCTTATCGCTGGAAATTTCGATTACTTTAGTGGGCATCGGCACTACAACATACCAGATTCAGAAGCGAAACGAAGGACTCGCATGGTGTGGTGGTGAACACCTACGGCCCGGGATTTTACAGATATCTCACCATCGTTATGGTTATACCAAGTTAAATTTGTCTCCAGTCGCTGTAGTCGCGTCTTCGGAACTAGATCACTGGAAAGAAGGCGGTGCAGTCCAGAAGTGGATACGTTGTCGATTTTGGTCCGCTTTGATTATTCGATCCTTTGAACTGTGATTTTCTTCGTATTTTTGTTGAGCAAACGCGAGGTGTTACTATTCTTTGTTCACAATTAAGCTGACGTTTCGGCGGATTTCGCCCTCTTCAGAACCTGGAAAGGTCACGTTGATAGCAATCCACTCGGCCAGACGCCTCCATAACCAAACAAAGAAACTCCAAACCAAGATTTCAATCACTTTGAACACAGCTTTGCCCACTCACCGCTTTCTATGAGGTTTCCACTAAGTATGTCACGTAGAGACCAACCGCACAGAAATCACGTGGAAGTATAATGTGCCCCTGACATCAGAAAAGCAGTTTTATATACTGCCCTATATCACGCGTGATAATGAACTTGAACTGAACTGTTATTCGAATAACTGCAACCATTGGATAGTGGTAAACCTATGAACAAATCTTCCGTGTATATCGTCTTGGTTAGGTTTATTATAAGCTATTTTTCCATTCCTGTTGATGATGTCAACCAATGTTCCGACATTACTCGGGTACTCAGATGGCCCATCCTCACTGGTTGTGTGGACGCCATCATAGTTTCCGTTTTTTCGGAGTTTTTGCTGGTCTAGGCATTACGGTTCCCCGGAGTCCTGAGGTCAACATGTCCAAAGTCTGCCCCAGGTCTTCACCACGACAGTCTGTCGCGGCCCTTGTGGATCAGAGGGAAATTTACCGTTATGCGACTTTGATATCAGGACGGTGGTGGATCCTGGGATTGGTTTACTCTTAGCTAGGGTTCCTGATAGAAACACTGGACTACTTCTCAGCTTAGGAGACCTTGCCAGGGGGCCGAAGTCATCCGCTGCACATCGCAGTTCGACACCTAAGAACACCTTCCAGTCACGATGATGCGGAACAGTTGTGAGGCTACTTGGACATTACTTGGTATAACTGAGACGACTTTACCTTGAAGATGAGAATGGTGTTTTCTTTTACTGTTCCCAGGTTCGACTTTCTATTAACCTTGCCGTTGGACTATAAATGCATCGTTTTCCTGTTCAGCAATCGTGAGGTTATCATACAGCGTACCTTTACTTCCATGCAAAAAACACGTGCAACACAACAGTAGCTGATGTTTCGGCAGTATCACCTTCTTCAGCCTTTTTTTTTAACGTGTCTTCTATTGAGGAAGAGATGAGCTGCTGATTATAGTCCTATATGGTTGATGATTTTCGTTGAAGAAGGCGATGCTGCCGAAACGTCAGCTAATGGTGTATTGTCCATTTTTATATGAAAGCAAATGTATGCTGTATAACAACCTCGCGGTGTTTTTTACGTTCATCTTCACTTTCCTGTCTTCCCAGTTTTGTGTGTGCGTAGTGTTCTTGTGATGGTATAAGTATGGAGCGTTTTCGTGTTTTTTCGGGATGGAAGTCTTTGTTCTGTTTCATTATTGGTGTTTCACTTAAAGTCCAAGTATACTTGAGTGATACCCTAAATTGAGGCTGAGTGAATACGATGGATCCTTTTCTATTTGATCCTTGAAAGAATTGATCCTATAACGCTGTCCATGTTGGTGAGAACTCAAACATCTCAATGTAATCACTTTTTATTTACTGCTTCTTCTTTTTTCTTGAAGAGATATGATGTGAAATACAACCACAATGATGCTGAGATATTTGCAAAACTCCGGACCGCAGGTGTCTGCGGTGGGAATGAACGAGCTATTAACCTTTCCGGGGGCTAACGTATCCACCACCGCACCATCCGGGTCCTTCGTTACGCCTTTTTCTCAGTTGTGTTTTATAGGTGCTATTCACATCATACCCTGTCACAAAAAAGGAATAGACAGTAAACAAAAAGTGATTACATTGTGATTTATACTACGGCTTTACCTTAACTTGGTTCAGTGCCGATTTGTGCTCCACAAATCAATCCGTTGGTGACTGATTGCTGATAGCACCTATAAAACACGGCTGAGAGAAAGGCAAAATGGAGGATCCGCATGGTGCGGTGCTGAACGCGTTAAAAGGATGAAGCTCTCGGCGTTGATCACTCCTTGAGGGATGCGCCATGCATTCGACATCATTAAGTATGGTTTGGAGCTGATTGAATGAATATCTGGCCTTTACAATGACTCGCGGTGGCCTACCGATGTATCAAGCCAGTGCTGCTATCCTTCCAGACAAGTTTGGTACCAATTTGCAGACCGCGGAGGAATGGAAGACTTTGTGGACCAAGGGCGCGGTAATCGATCCTATGTATATCGCAGAGCGCCTCCGAACACTGCGCCACAAGCGCCGTGCCGTTGGCTGTGTGAATGTGAATGCGTTAGCACCCGGAAAGGGTAATACCGTGTTTTGTCCCCACCGCAGACATCTACGGTTCGGAGTTCAAATGTATCAGAATCATTGTGGTTATATTTCAAATTTTTCGTTTTAAAATCTAAGTTATAATGTTGCGATGTGATTGTCTTCTAGAGGTGACGGCCATGTTTAATGTGCGCTATATTCTGGTCCCGGCTATATTAAAGATGTCACACCTGTGTTGCGAACCTCCGAACGATGTGAAGTGTGTGGATTGCGTGAAGTTTCCTTTCTAGATTTCGTATGCTGAAATTGCAAATTTTTATGGCCATTTCTATTAATTTTGAATAAATAAAACATTGGACGCAGCAATACCACAAACTGATTGACCGATATACCCGTCTGACAAGCTTGAGAAGCTTTCTCTTAAATTTTACATGTCCGCATGGTTCCTTGTTACACTCTTCCTTACATTGCTTGTATCCATCTAACAGTTACTGAACTCTAATGAGTTTGATTACAGATTTGTCCTATGTGTATCGCATGTCCTGAATTCGACGCCAATAGAGAAATTGACAATCTGAAGACTCACTGGACAGCGTTTCATGCGTATGTTAGGTTGCTTCTTATGACTGTGAATGAGTTGAATGAATATCGTCTTAATATTTGCTGTTAACTTCACGTAGCAGCTGACGTTGGTGTTGCTGATAAGGTTCTTCTAGAAATTTGGAGGCTGCCACGTATCGTGCTGAACCAACACGTACTCTTGGCACCACTCGTCGACCTATGTTAGCAAGAAGAACGGCTCGTCAGCCTGCTGGTGTTGGTGTAAATAGTACGTTTTTGCCTTTACCCGAAATTGTTTCTGTAGTCGTTAAATGGTTTGGTTATAGTTGGTGGTGGTGGTGCAACTGCTCAGCCTCCGACAGTTGGTATTGCTACAGGACCATCCACCATTGGTTTACCACCTTGGAGTGCTGATATTTCCGACGTAGATGAAATGTTCCGAATGGTGAATCTCACTCGACACATTCCGACCTTGCCTCATATGCCGATTACTGCGGAAATGCAACGTGTTAGCAATCAGCTATTTCAGGTTAGTTCTAGCTTTTCCTTGCGTTGAGGCGATATCGAAATTCCCAAATGGTTATTTCAAAATTTGTCGCTTTAAATTATTGAAAATATTGTATTCAGCCGGTTGCAAATGGTACAGGTCTTTTGCCTACTTTGGGTTCTCTGCGTAATGTTGTTACAAGAAATAGTGAATATGCACAACCGCGAAACTCTACCTCTGGCAGGCAGACTTCTGTTGCAACAGTAAGCTATAAAATGACAACTAATCCGTATTTTATAGTTGGTAATGTCTTGTATTTATTCAATTTATCATTTTAGGCACTTCCTCAAATAGTTCGACCTTTACGGGTGGTTTCCATCTATCCCTCAACTGATTCTCAGGTATTTGTCATGAAGTGAGAATTTGTTTAGGGGACATATTTTATTTCTAATTGGTTTACTATGTGATCATTTGAGACTTCAGTTTTTTTGAAATAACTTAAGAAGAGTATTTGTTTGCTAATATTAGTGTTATATTTTGCAATCTATTAAATGGTCTCAGGTTGGCACTCCTGACGAACTGGAGCCATTCGAGGAGTTAACAGAAGATGACTCTAGTGATGTAGGTGCTTTTGTAGATGACGTGGACGTTACGCAAGAAGAACATGAATATCATCGGTTAGTTCTCCACATAGATAGGGGTGGTACAAAACGTCGCTATCTTTTGAAGCAGAGAATATTTTTACTGCACGTCATGAAAAGAACGACGGAAGCATTGTTAAAATGCTTTTTGTAATCGTTCTTTCTTAACAACGTGAAAATCGATTTCCACTTATCATTACCTCATTCTTTGCCAGATTCTTTATGTTAATTTCATCTTAGTATCAAGAAACGTATATGATATAATACATAGTATAGTACCTGGATACTTGGACGGCCCGTTCTCAGCGGTTGTGCGGGCCCCAGCACAATCTCCATTGTCCGGAGTTCTGGAGTCCCAAGGTCAGCTTTGCCAAAGTCTGCCCTAGGTTGTCAGCAGCAGCATAGGCAGTCACCGCCCTTGTGGGTCAGAAGGAGGTTTGCCACCATGCGACTGGTCTGATACCTAGAACAGTGATGGATCCTGGTACTGGTATTGGTTTAGTTCTATCTGGGCTTCCTGATGGAAACGCTGGGCTCCTGAGCTTGGTAGACCCTGCCTGGGAGGACACGAATCCCCCCGCCGCACATCGCAGCGCGACACCCAGGAACACCTTCCAGCCACGACAAAGTGGTAAACCGTTGAGACGACATAGTATAGCATGAGTGTTAAATTTGAATAACATATCTCGGTCCGTAACGGTTTGCCAATAGAGGTAGATATCAGGAATCTCTAGATTTTTGGCTGTAAGACACAATCTTTCTTGTGCTACCAGTATGAGTTTCTGACTTTAAGCCTACATATCGTACTGTCGCTTTTTTCTATCGTGATTCCTATCCCGAACCGAAATCAATCAGAAAAGCGGTTTCATCCAACTGATCGTAACCCTATCTGCGAATACCTAGTTGTCGTTTGCACTTGTTGCACTGACATTGGGTATTTTAAAGATTTAAATTTCATCTTCAACTCCTTCGGACATTTTTATTCTAAGTGACTTTAGAAGTGAAGTAACATTTTTGAAGAGTCTACTCAATCTCTCACATAAATCTACCAAGATTGCAACGTCTCAAATACTGTAGTTATTGAGAAATTGTTAGGGGTTTTCGAGAAACTAGCTTCGGACCCTGAGTGTTAAATAATATCTCAGTTTACATATTCTGGAACCTCATTGCTTAAATGATGTGTTTTAGTTCTGAAATGGCGATGACGGTTAGCGACCATAGCGTTACGTCTCATATTGTGTGCGAAGATAGCGCTACCACTGCGGCGCCGTCTGACAGTGAATTCGAATTCACTTTTTCTGCTTATGAAGACAGTGAAGTAAGGATACAATTTGTTTCTAACCGTCTGGTATCCTTATTGTCATACGGATTTCTGCTTTATGGACCTTGATATTGTATAACGCACTTTTTGGAAAGTTGAGGAACCTGTGCTACGAAACAAACCCACATGCAGTTTGGTTCGTTAGGGTGTTCAGGATTCCCGTGACTTATGTCTTGTGTTTAAAGTGTATCCTTTTTCAGACATCTTCGAACCCTGGAGACAATGAGGGAGGTGATTCGTTATCACTCACAGAGAATAAACTATCGCCTTTCGACCGTCCACTTTCAAAAAGGGATATTTGGAAAGGTTTGTTGTTTTCCCAGTTGTTTCTTTAATTTAAGAATTTGTAGCGTTTATCTATTAAATGTGACATGCAAGTAGGTAGCACTGTGAAATATCGGCTAATTTAGCTTTGAGGTCAGAGCTAACGTCGGAAGAGTTTGAGACATTCAAGAACGTTTTACGGAGGGAACCGAGCAGGGATTTAGACGAAAACGAGGGTGATCCAGTGGCAGAACTGGCAGGAAGAGAACAGGAACAGGTGAAAACGGCCGACAATCGGGAAGCGCAGAGTTGGCTGAGTCTCGTCTATGATGTGCCACCACTCCAGTCCTTTTCAGTTGGTGGTTACTGGAACGATAAGCGTTTTCTTAGGCAGCGGTGGGTGTACTTTCCATCTATATGAGCATATGCTCAAAATGGGTCCTATCACTGTTGTATTAGAAACTCTTCGATAGTTTATGTTTTATATGCAGGGCTATTTGGAGCGAATGTATATTCATTTTCAGAAAGATGAATCGGGAGATGGGTATGTCAAGTGGTACCGAATCCATTTTGGATAAAGCAGATATTGTACTGGCTATGATTCGTGATATTGGCGTTGTTCCACCTAAAGGGAGAGAATATTCAAGCCATGGTTAGTTGTCGTTTCAAATTTACTCGCTATTTCATGTCCAAATATATGTCCATAGGGTTTTGAATAGTTAAGGATAGAAAAGGGGTAAAACTCCAGGCGTTGATCAATCCCTGAGGGATGTGCCATGCATTCGACTTCATTTAGCATCGCTAGAGGTGATTGGATGCATATTTGGCCTATACATTGACTCGCGGTGGCCTATCAATATATCGAGTTAGTGCTGCTATCCTACGAGAAAAATTTGGTACCAATTTGCCGACCCGGGGGTATGGAAGGCTTGGTGAGCATGGAGCGCGAAATTGATCCCAAGTATATTCTAGGGTGTCTCTAACCGTTGCGTTACACGCATCCTTTGTATAGTTATTGTTCAAAAAGCGTATCATCTCTGGAACTCTATCTTTTTGTTTTTACGCTTTTATTTCCATTATACCCTTTATGTATCCAATGACTACAAGAAATTTTAGACTTCTCATTGCGAAGAACGTTATCTCAACTTGATCTACCTAATATGAGTTGTGGTGAATGTGAAGCCATTTCGAATGTGGAGAGCATGGAGAGCATTACTGCGGAACGACTTCGCCAGGTAATTAACTTTTTTCTTTACGAAAGTAGTCAATGCTTTCAAATTTAAAACCAACATCTGCTGTCTCATGATAAGCTTTATCAATTGAAATAAAATTTATTGGAATACATACATTTTTAACAGAATCTTGCTTCTTCTAACAAAGTGAAACTCTGGACCTTATGGATCATTCCTTTCCATTTCTTTTTTTGTTGAGGCTCGTTTCATGGAACCGGTAGTTCTCTAGAATGTATGGGTGATATTTGGCTCTCCTGCGTACACCAAAGGTTCTTGAATTTTTCCCCACCTAAGTATTTTTTGAATTTTAGCTGAAGAGAAGAACTAAAGCAAAATACAAAATGTATACATTTATTCTTGAAGTGATAGGGCATAGCTTCTCCCATACAGTTCCGATAGCGAATTCTCGACCATGGAACAATGAGGCTTGGTGGGCTCGAGGCGGTGTCAGACTAGCGCATAGGAAGGTTGAGCCGTTTACGTAATAAAGGAAATCACTACAATTACGCTACGTGCTCCTATCTTTTGTTCGTGCAATTTAATTTCCAGTAGTTGTTCGCAATTTAATTCCTTTCTCTTCCTTTCGTAGTACTATTATCTGCAACTGTTTTTGTTCATATTTCATCTGTATAGGAGATTTTTTGGTTTCTTCTAGGATGCTTTGCTCGTGGCTTCGCAACAGCTACAGTCAGAATCTGATATTGTTACTGCGATTTCGACAGACACAACAATCCGCTCACCACACGAAATGCAAGATGGTGCTTCCGCTTTACAACCTGCTTCTTCTTCTCAAGTTAGGTAGGTGAAATATTACGAGCAAAATCGAGCTATATTAAGTGAGAAATAACACCTTTCACAGAGTGTATTCTCGATAATGGAACTATTATGATGGCTTTTATATGGTACTGTGTCGTTTTTTCTTTTTTGAAAATTTTCGAAGTAATGTCGTTGGAGAGTAACTGTTGACTTTTTATTTGCTGCTTACTACAATTTTTCACGGCAGGATATGGTGTGAAATACAACCAGAACGATGCCGAGTATTTCGCAAAACTTGGACCTCAGGCCAGAACGAACCACTGCCATCAGTTTAACTGGGCCGCTGACGGATGATTGCTGATGGCCTCACTAGGTAGAAAACTAGCTGTGAGAAGGGCAAAGCAAGGGGCTCCGTGGTATAGTGTGTAATACGCGAGCCCTCGGAAGGGGTAATCGTGGTTTGGTCTGGCCTGAGGTCTAAGTTTTGCGAATATCTCGGCGTTGTTGTGGTAGTAGGTGTGGAGTTATTGTGCTTGTGTAGTTGCGTTCTACACTTTTTACGTGTAGTATTTATGACTCTAGAAACAAGTAGAATACATCACAAATAGTGTGCTGTGCCAAACAAACACATGTCAAGTTATCTACTGCACGGCTGAAATCAAGCTGCTCATTAGAACTTTTTTTTATCAGGAATCATAATTTTAAAGTCGGGTTACCATATTCCTGTTTTCTTAGTGATGGTGAATCTTCTGAGGATGATGACGTGTCGGAACAATCAGTTCGTCCAGACGAGGTTGAATTCCTCGCAAATGACGCCACATCACGCGCATAAAATTTCGTGCGGTTGTTGGGGCTTCATTTGGCACGAGCTTCTCTGACTTGACCTTATATATTTCTATAACGAGGTGTTTCTTTTTTGGGTTATAATGTCTTCAGCCTGTTCTTCTGTGGGCTGGAGCATGTACATTGTTCTAGTCTTGGATTTCACATCTTTCTCCTTGTTTTCGGTGTCTAATGAGAATTCCATTGCTCAATATAGCGTTGTTTATCCTTGTCGTCTGATTTGAACGCTACTAATGCTTCTGTGCATTTGTATACTACTATTAAACGTTTTTCATGCTGCTCTTTAATAAGGTCCTACCGTCTGTGTTTTGAACATGTCTGAATATAATTCTGGCTTGGGTTTTAAAATACTACTGAGAATTTTCTATAGTCGTGCCGTCATGAGTCATATATGACAAATTTTCCATTTGCGATTTTCTTGTGTAGAAAAGTTTTACCTATTACACCTTTTGTAACTAATAGTTATCTTTTCGTATATAGATATTCTGTTAAGAATTTACTGAGAAATTCTGTTTTCTACACACAATTCACACAGAGTATTTCGAGACAGTTTTGTTCATTCCCTTTCCCACGAGAAATTGTTGTTGAGGAGGGTCTTAAGATATTTAAGAGTGGCGAAATTAGTACAGATGAGGTGCGTACTACAGCGTCTCGAAAGTAAGCACATGAATCAGTACATCCTTCAGTTGTTGACGGAGTAACTTGGAAACACGGACTGTTGCCAATAGGATGGATACTCGATGGTTTTACTCCCGATCTGCGTTTTATTTGTCTAAGAGTAGTGCTGCACGCTGCGTAGTATCCATTGCAGCAAATTTGTTAGGTTAAGCATCGCGTTTTCTGTTCAGAAATTCATCGCCTGGTTAGGACTACATTTCAAATAGAATATCTTGGCCGACATATTCTGGTGATATTTTGTGACGCTTCGTAAAAGACGGTCACTTCTCATATATTAACTTATCAGCTCAATGCACAATATTGCTGGTCTTTTGGCCTACTTATATAAAAAAAAGGGTAAAGCTGTGGGCGTCGATCAATCTCTGTGGGATGCGCCATGCTATCGATGTTAATAAGCATCGTTAGAGATGATTGAATGCATATCTGGCCTTTACAATGACTCACGGTGGCCTGATATATCGAACCAGTGGTGTTATCCTTCCAGACAAGTCTGGTACAAATTTGCTGATCCCGGAGAGACGGAAGGCTTAGTGGGCCAGTGGCACGATAATCGACCCATGTGTATTGCAGAGCGCCTCCGACCACAGGGCAGCACGCGCCCATTAATTTGCATATATGTGCGTACTAATTCCTTACATAGACATCTTATTGCTTTTCTTGAAACCATTCATGTAGAACACCGCCCATTGCTCAAGAAGATGTTCGCTCATCTGTGAAAGTTGGAACACCTGTCGTACTTGAAAAAAAATGCATGTAGATGTTCTTATGTGATGTAAAATTGAAGTGACGGCTCTTTTGAGCCCATTGCATCTGAAGTAACTTCTTTTCTACGTATTCTTCTCAGAAAAGGTTGCCTCACTCTGATTAGGTTGTTTCAGCTTCTTTTTTAAAACACTAATAACTTTTATTGTCGACAGTGTTTTATTTCCCTTCTAGTTAAGTTTGAAATGTTCTGGTTTTATGAGCAGTCACAGCAAATTTGTTGTTCAGTGCCAACAGATGGCTTTCTTGAATATTATACTTGAATGTTATAATAGAACCAACTTGCTCCACCGAAGAAGATTTCTCTCGATACGAATGCAAAGACCTACAACGTGAGGATGAAGGACTGTAGACCATTAGCTCAGATCATCGGCTTTGAAGAAGACGAGGACGTCGAGATGTTAGCCGACTAAAGTTTCTTTTTAATCAACCTGGTGTTAAATTATCAATGAAAGAAAATTAGTTTCATAGCGTATTATAACATTAAAGCCCACTATTTCACTCTGCTCTGCTCCATACTTCGAGATGGTGGAGACTCTTGTCATCCTTGTCATCGAAGGATTGAGTTCAGGAAGACGAAATGCTTTGCTTGTAGAAAAATTATTGCATAATATTAGTCGGCAAGCTGAATTTCTATGATTTTCTGATAAAAAATCGCTGATCCGGGGTTCTGATGCAAACCGCTTTTGCATCCTTAGATTATAGTGAAGATGATCCTATAGACGCAGCCTTACTATATGAGCTGGTGGAAGACACCGTTTAGCAACAGTTTCTACCAACGGTCAGTAGCTCTGTCGTCTTTGGTTGAGACAAGGTCAACGTTGGATACTTGGATACTTGGACAGCTCGTCTTCACTAGTTGTGTAGGCGCCATAACAATCTCCAATTTTTTTCCTTTTTTAGAGACCTCCGGTTGAGCCATTGTGGTTCCCTGGGATCTCGAGGTCAGCATGGCTAAAGTTTGTCCTGAGGTCGACGTTACTGTTGCGAGTATCGGCTTTCGGTGTCGTTTGAAATGTTCAGACTGACACTTACTGATCGCTTCATTTTTCAATGTTTTTTAGATACTTGAATGCATAAATACCCCTTAATTCGAATGCGACTTGCGGACGTGGTGAGTGCTGGTTGGGCGTGATTTTCGTGGAATTTCGAGATAACCATGCTAGGGCGTCTATATGGTTAACGCCACAAGAAGTCGTTGTCGGGTGTAGAAAACCAATGTGCTTCGTTGCCTTACGAAACGGCCGTGATTCCTGTGACAAGTTGAGCGACTCGCTTACATTTTTGAAAACCCATGCAGTAAAATGAAATGTTCAAAAGACCGACTTCCAGTAAACCTCGGCATGAATGATCGATATACTTATATATGTTTTTATGAACTGATCTTGTTGAGCTAATGCGGGGTTCTTATAAGTTGTCGTTGTCGTTGTCGTTGTTGGTCGTTGCCTGTTTCGGTGCTTTCGCCTTTCTCACAGCCGTGCTGTTACGTGTAGGACGAGTGGAGGGGCATCTTGCATCAGCTCAGCAAAATTAATTTATATGAACATGCAAATAATGAAAATATTATTCATGAAGGGTTTCAAATTATATTCAGATTTGATTACTTCCACCTATGCTTCATCAGTAGGGCGCGTGTTGCGCAGTAGTCGGATGCGCCCTGCCGCCCAGGAGTTGATCCCCGTTCCCTCGGCTCACCAAACCTTCTATCCCTCCGGGGTAGACAAATTGGTACGAGACTTGTCTGGGAGGATAGCAGCACTGGCTCGATACATCGGTAGGCCACCGCGAGTCATTGTAAAGGATAGATATGCATTCAGTCACCTCTAAACGATGCTTAATGAAGTCGAAAGATGTATGGCCCGTCCCTCAGGGATTGATCAACGCCTAGATCTTTATCCTTTTTTATGCCTCATCAGTGTGAATGTGCTTCGTACCGAGCGCACGAGTTTTTCAGTTCATCATCGTGAATCATCGTTGACATCCAGGCTGCTACGTGTAAATGCATAAGCATTTTGCTAGCAAAAAACAGGAGTATTTAGTTTTCTAACGCTGAACGTTCGACTTCAATCAGACAGAATTCAGTTATTGACCAGAATTTTAACGTCGGTTATGGTTGCTTTGGACCTCAAGCCTTCAAAATGACTCAGTTCGAGCACTGGAAGCCCTTATCTCGAAAAGCGTGTGTTCGGTTCATTACTTGTTACCTACTTCTTCTCACTATGAATAAAGTTCTTTAAACTGTACATGCAAAAGAGTATAATGCCAACAGTTGGTACTTCTATGTATGAAAGTGATCCTACCTGTGCTAAAAATTGAACAAGAATGCTCTCATGCGAATCGAAATGGAAGTTTCTCACTTTTCCCGTTTTTTCTTCTTTCATCCCCATGTTTATTTAGCTTTCCCTACCCAAGTTTGAATGTTCAAAAGAAAAGTGAGTGGAAATTTGAGTCTAACCTAGTGTGGCTAAAAGTCACATCATGTATCCATTGCAATTTCAGTGCCTTCCTAAAGTGAACGGTCTGCATGAACTCCGTGTTGGCATCCTTGAGGAAGTCAAATAATGCCGCCTGTGCCATGTTTGACTTCATTCGTCATCTACGTCACCCCTATGTAACAACGGTAGGGTCAACATCCAGGACATCAGCTAGATGAATAATCTAATCCACATCTACGATTGGAAGCTACTGTTTATTCGCGAAAATCCCACTACTGTAACCGCCTAGAACTGTCCGCCTTAAATTCGTGAATAGACGTTGAAAAAACAAAGCTGGTACGTCATCGCACATAGATGGTGGAAGAAGAACGCATGTAACTGCCTTTAAGGTAGAAGTCATCGTGGTGTTTTCACAGATCGCAAAAAATGAAGACCTTTAACTGTTTCTTTAGGCTCAGTTGAAAGGACTGAAACCAAGAAAAATGCTCAAATCTCAAGAAATTGTTGGAAGATTTATTTTTTAACAATTCACATGAATTCGGAGAATAAATCAAGCATACACTACATATGACTGTTGTATTAAGTATAAGACAGAAAGAGGCTCTTATGCTTTGGCGCTTTCGGTCCCTCCTGAATTCTGAAAAGAAGCTCAATCAGCTTTTATAGGATTCTATATTGAAACACGTACAAGGAAAGTGGTAAAGATTTAGAGGATAGTATATGTTTATGCTTTATGCTGTAAACTCAACTTTAACATTATAAAAACACTTGAGTTAACAAGAAAGAAAGTGTGGAGCTAGAAGGAGGAATAAAAATCAAGACCGTTAAGAAAGTGGTGTAGTGAATGGGTATATTAATCATGTTTCTTCAAGCGCCCTTGACATTCTGGGTACAAGATGATAATACAGAATAAAATGGAAGGGTTGGTGGGTCTGGGGCGCAAGGATCGATCTCATGTGTATTGCAGGGCGCCTCAGACCACTGCGCTACACATGCCATAATACGGAATAGAGACCTAAAATGTAAGTGTTCTCTGATTACGAAAGAATTCATAGTTTCTACTATGAGATGACCCTAGTGCGGTGTCTCTGCAAAATCATTATTCGTTATGTGATGCAATCGCATATACACGATGACGTATTCACCAAGCTCCATTCATACAAGTAGATGAGAAAGGTGCTCGAGAGGTACTGATTGCTTCATCCAGGAAAAACCTACGATGAAACATCGTTCTTATGTGCCGCATCGCGAAAATTATTTTTAGCAGCGACTGGCTAAAGGTTGCGTTGATACGACCAGACACACTCAGGTGCAGACCAGATCGTGGCAACAAGCAATAATAATGATCAGTTCAGTCGATATCTGATGAGAACTCTCATAGACGTCATAGATGACGGGGTGCGTATAGCTCAGTAGTTGGAAGTGACCTGCAATATACGTGAGATCGATCCCGCTCCCCAGGCTCGCCAAGTCTTCCATCCCTCCGAGGTCGACGAATTGGTACCAGATCCCTCTGGGAGGATAGCACCACTGATTCGATAAATCGGTAGGCCACCGCTAGTCATTGCAAAGGCTAGATATGCATTCAATCAGCTCCAAACCATACTTAATGATGTCGAATGCATGGCGCATCCCTCAAGGATTGATCAACGCCGAGAGCTTCACCCTTTTTTTTATGCTCATAGACGAGATTCAGAAGATTTCTTGAGCTACACACCCTACTCTTGCACTTTTTCATGAACGTACACATTTCTTCACTTACATATACAAACGGTTTTATAAATGATGAAGGTTTGGTGCTGTAGGCACATCCACGAACGTACTTAAGTGGTTGTACATAACGAATCAAAGTTGGGAGATGATCTCATGTACAGATTCACCGAGAAAATCTAGATTTTTTTACGACTAGAAGAAACTTAGCTACAGTCTCGCTGAGATGTGACCATCGAATCTCTCACGTTCACTAAATAACATATCTTGTTTAAAGGATGGAAATTTGGTACAGGACCTGTACTAGAATGAGTAGTTTGTCAGACGGCACATGATCGGCCAGGAAACGTCTCCATCGTTCGTTGTGACGCAGCTGGATCAATTCGAAGTCGACAGAGGCCAATTGCATACAGGTGACACTCTTCTTTAACTCCGAACCGAGTTGCATGAATCGAATCTGCAAAGAATCCGATCCGAAGATCTCTGACATTCCGAATCATATGACAGCTATTCCGATGCAGCTTAAGTTAGTGACATGTTTAATGACAATCTGGTTTTGTAGTAGTAACACTCAAGGATTTACAAGTGTTAACACATAACGCCCGAAACTGGCTATTCGACAACCGGCGGTGATTCCTCGACCTTAAGAGTATTTGAGGGGTTGAGAATAGCACATATCTAGAAGAGATTTTGCTCTATCGCGTTAATCGTATATAAATCTTTTATACAGTATCCTTTTAATTTTACATACGTTTGAAATCAAAACTTGAGAAAAACTAGAAACAAATTGTAAATTTTTAAAAGTTATCCAACTTAAGTGCAGCAGCCGTAAACGCATGAATACAACGATGAACATGATCATGTCCTGCTGGATGAAATTCCGCTTGCTTAGTTGAATTCTTCCTCAAAATGCAAGCTTCGAGGCATAAACGTGAAGGAAATATCCGCTATAGACTCCAGAAACTCGGAATTTTATCTCGGTAAAATGAGGTAGAGTAAGTGTTGTTGGCAAAGCTCTGCCGAATCTAACGGTTTCAGTTGTAGCCAGTAAAGTCCAATATGAGTCAATAAATGTTTCCATTAAGTTAGAAGACGACTATTCTTTTCGTATCGAACGCATTGGACACAATTCATCTCGGACATGATGTTTACGAATTTCCAATAGACGTTGAATACAACCATGTTTTATTTTTTCAGCACTGTGAAGAGCTCAGAAAAGAAAAGAGGAGGATGTAGCGATACACAGCTACTTTGTGCAAAAATAATACAGTCGCTTTCCGCAGTCGTTGGCTTACCTCGATATCAAGCCGATTGGCATTCACTTCCTCCAGTTCCTTCGTCCAGACGGCCACTTGACGAATCACACTAGCTATCTCCGCTTCTAGCGCTTCGAGCTCTTTTGGAGAATCTAAAGTCTTTAATCACTTCGGAGAGATAGAAATATTGCGAATTTTCACAAATATGTTACTGAAGTACTTACACGATTTTAATAAGAGTCAGACTCAAATACCATTAAATTTGTCAATGAAAGCGAAAGAAAGGTCCTTAAAACATAGCCAAGCGTACACAAGAACCCGACTACAACTATCAATGACGGCAGCTAGGAAGCGAAACAAGTGGAGGACTAGCTGAATTCAGCGTGCTATGTGAGGATGGGTCACCAGAATCTTTCTCTCTTCTATTCTACATGATCTTAATAAGTAGACGGAAATTGATTAGAAGCAGGAGGATTAGCTCACGGAGAAATAATTTCCGGCTACTTTGGTGTTCAATTAAAATTGGATATCAGACTAACACATTATTCCCCTAGTCCTACAAAAGGCAGCATGTTTTGGAATTGGATAGGACCGTCACAAAAGAACTTTTAGTATCTTGGAGCTGAGACCGCCTAATGAGTTCTGGTCTTAGCTGCAATGCCTCTTCGTCAAGAACCAAATGAAGCAGGTGGAGGAATTTCTAGTAAGCTATTCGAGATCGCAAGATTTATTGCTGCATAATGCTACTGCATAGAGTAACTTTCTACAAAGACTTGTTGTAAGAAATAACTTGACAGAAGTACAAGCACAAGGATACTGAGATGTTAGGAAAACTGGGAATCTCGTCTAGGTTTCGAATCAGCCACTACCCTTACCGTCATCTCATGTGCCACCCACCACATCAACCGTATCCATTATTTTGCTTGTTGTTTTTTTTTTATTTTGCAACATTTTCACTCTGTTGGTGCTATCAGCAATCATCATTAAAATATGAAGAGAAAGGCAAAACCTTTGTCTGGGGCAAAGGCCTCGGTCGGTGTGGTGGATAGCACGTGAGCCCCTAGTCACGGTAATTGCAGGTTCGGAGCTCAGCTGAGGTTCAGAATTTTTCTCATACTTCAGCATGCCTATGGTTGTATTGCACTTGATACCTTCCATGAAAAAGAATAGAAAGTAAATGAAAGTTAAAACAAAATGACAAAATTTCTGTATGTTATTGGAGCGTCTGACTTAGTAAATTGCCTACCAATATACCCTTCCAAGCTCTGAAGAAAGCGAAATCCGCCGAAACGTCAGCTTTAACGGAATAAAGAATAAAGCAACACCTCGCGTTTGCTCAACAAGAATATCGAGAACTATTTGACCAATGCCGAGGTTAACAGAAAGTCGGTAGTGGGAATTACTACAAAATAACAGGGTTAAAGCGGATATCAATAGATGTGCATTACGTTGGGAGCCTTTTTAACTCTAGATAATGTGATTAACCACGCATTTGAGAATTTTTTTTCGAAAATTTGGCTCATGTCACGACTTGAGAGGATCAGAAGGATTTTTACGAAAATATCGTTGACAAGAGTGGTGGCTAAACGGCTTCCATGGTCACCATTAAATGAGTTTCTCTGCTTTGGTTCCTCGACAATCCCAAGAGATAACAATCGCAAATGTATCAGATTCCTTTGGACTCAGCATTCTTAGTGACGAGAACACTGAATTCACCAGTGTCCTCATATGTTTTGAATTCTGGGTCAGTGGAGAGGTGAACTGGAAGCAAGCAACGGTTGAGAGCCCAGCTCATGAATCAAAGAAAGAAGTAAAGCAGAGGAAAAGCTTATAGTAGCTGAGGATACCGAGGTGATATATTGATAGAAGTGCACGATATTTTTCGATCCCTCCTGAGTTACAATACGAGCATGCATAGTGGGAGAATACCAGTGTTCCATTCTACCCTGGATGCATAAGTCTAAAATATCTCTACAACTCGTCTCCTTCAGTATTTTAACACCGGACCACTCTCTTAATGTCTTGAAATGCAACGCAACGGAAAATCCATGTTTGTCTACTAAACGTAACGAATACAATGTACATGAAAACCTAACGTGTTCCTAACGTTATGTCGTCACTAGGAACAAAAACTTGAAGTGCTTTGATTGTATCTACTGTGGTCCAAAAGTCATTATAACAATAAATCTGCAAACGAGCTTACAAGAAGAAGCTGGAGATTATTATGGGATACTGAAAGACGATCAAAGAAAAGATAAAGCCAATTTTATGCTAATCGATCAACTGCACGAGAGTTGCTGATTTTTCATACATTTAGAGTACCTAGGCGCAGTAAGCTAGGCAAGAGTGCAGCAGTTGCCATCCCACACTGAGAAGCGAATTTTGATGCCTAGCACAAACGGCTAGTTTATGAGTGGGAGTACTGGCTCATGTCGACGTCCTGTGGGCCGGCTACCGCCGGTGGTTCAACGACAATCGTTGGAGGACACATTGAACATGGCTGGATATCAAGAGAATAAGAGGCGGCCAGACCTTATCACGTTGATTCTGGAAACGATATATAAGCGCTCTTTTATTTTAGAGGTATTTAGGTAAAACTCGATTTGTCTATAGTTATTTGAAGAACGAACATAATAGGAAGACCGATAGGAGTAATACTGAAAATGGGAAAGACACGTAGTTATCGCGAAGCAACGATTATAGCAGGCAGTAAATAAAAAAAGTTTAAGATTGTGATTTCTTCAGCCTCAGCCTAACTAGGTTCATTGCCGATTTGGGTTCCCTAGATCGGTCCCGTTGACGAGTGATTATTGATGGCGCCGACCAATAGAACTAGCTGAGAGACAGGCGAAACGGAGGACCCGCATGGTGTGGTGGTGAACGCGTTACTCTCCGGAAAGGACAATTGCGCGTTTGTTCTCTACCGCAGACACCTGCGGCCCGGAGTTTTGCAAATATCTCCGTATCATCATAATCATCATTGTGTTCACTGTGAAACGGTCTGAGACGTTATGTCCTCAAAGCGATGGAAGAAAAATGTTGGTAAATCAAGGGACGTGATATTGCAGGAGCTCTAGGGCAGCACATTTACAATACGGCCTAGAATTTGAGGATGATTTAAGCACCTTTGAGACAGAGTAAACCACAAATTGATAGCAAACTGAGTCATAGAAGGCATCTGAGAGCGAAGCCCACGTTTTTTTCGAAGTATGATGGCTCACAGGGCTTTTCATCGATGATCCGTCTGATGCAAGCGTGGCGCTGTCTGAGCGTCTCTGCGGTCTCGGAGAGGATCTCCAGCTGGGCGTCGTTCATCTGTAGAGCGAGGCTGCAGTCGGCGTACTGCCGGCAGAGGTCGGCATGCCGTGCGCAGGTCGTCTTGATTTCGTTCAACTCCTGATCGTCATCATGCCTCTAAAACAACGAGAACTCGTTACTCGATGAAATTCTCGATGAGCATTCACAGATTTTGCAATATTGGAAAAGAACTGCTATGAAGAAGCTTCGAAACAGTTATGCCAACGAATTTTTAAAGTCGTCAGGTGTTCTATACTTGGTCTAGACATCGATTTAGGACTATTTTTTCTTGTACTACGATTCCAATGATGCGATTCCATACATATCTTTCTCATAAGCCTTTCATTTATAACCTTTATACCAGCTAATGCAGTTAGTAGGCTGACTAGAAACTCACATTTGTCGACCTGAGCATCGTCAATGGCAGTGAGTGGAGAATAATCTTTTACTAATTGAGCAATGAGTCGGCTAAGTGAAATTCTGTAAAACATCTTGTGTAGGACGATGACAAATACAGGGAAATGCAACGAAAATTACACATTGTTAAGAAGAAAATGGAAAACTGAGGGCAAGTCAGAGGACTTGACAGAGTAGGAAATAAAATGCATAGGAATAGAAATTTATAAAACTGTTGCGATATGTATAACAGGATAGATGGATAGAACCAGCTCAGAGACAGGCGAAACGAAGGACCAGCATGGTGTGGTGGCGAACGCGTTGGCCCCTGGAAAGAATCACAGAGCGTTCGTTCCCCGCCGACACATGCGGGTACGGAGTTTTGCAAATATCTCAGCATCGTTGTGGTTGCATCAAATAAGAAGTTAGCATTGTTGTGATATGTGAGAGAAAAGCCGACAAACGGCGAAACACAACGAATTAAAGTTGTTTCTTTTCGCATCATAAGGAAATGGTAGAGAATCAAATTGGGAAGGAGTTCGGATGATCCGGAGTACGATGGATTTGCCGACCGACATCCGACAGCGATTGTGGAGCCGTTTATCGCAGAACACATTGAATCGGGCGACTGCAGCAAGCCGCAATGAGAATCACTGCGGCATTCATTAGCCGTAGTCAGGCTGGTCTTTGTTCTCACGGAATTCCTCACCACACTTGTGCGATAGGAAACAACCACACTTTTGTGCCTTTTGCTCAGCATAGGCCAAGAAAAGAAGGCCTCGGAAGTAGCTCTACCGCTGCTGAGTTGATCGTGTACAGCTCGAGATCACTACCTGCTTTTGTCTAAAAGTCAAGATTTGTTAAACGCGTGTTATATTACGTCCAAGTGTTGTTCAAAACGACGGCTGATATTTTGATTTTTAAAATATAATAATGGAATTTGTACGATTGACAAGAGATCTTTACTGGAAACTTCTGAATAGGATAGATTTATTGAAGGTGATGGTTGAAGAACCCCTTGGCTACGGAGTTGAACACAGCAACCAAACTCCTAACCATGGTAATCACCCATCATTGAACCGCATGGAGAGCGGTCTGAATGACGATCGTTGCTACATGTGGTATTTAGAAGTTACTGGAAATTAAATGCAGGTTTTAGCCTTGAAATACTGAGATCCGCAAAGCAAATGTGATGACGGGTCATGTAAAATAAGAGATAAAAAACCTTCAAATCGAGGTTGAGATTTGCACAGCAGCAAGAAATTATGGCTTTCTTCTTGTGTACATAAAAACTAACTGAAAAAGAATGCTGCCAAGTTTCCAGAAGCTCTATCTAGCACCCTGAGTTGAAATTGTTCCAGATTCGTACTCTCAGTGATTGCTAGTTATGGAAACCGGAAACGAGCAACGAGCTTGATTGACATTCCGGGGTAGAAGAAATCACGATCATCTACAGCTACGAGTTAAATGCAACCGTGGGAATAAATCGGGCCGACAGCAAGCAAAACGGCCGAATTGGAAATGAAGTATAAAAAAGGGAATTGTAGAGTTCAAATCGGAAGCAATGCGCCCTATTCTGGCGTCAGACACACCTGCGCAATCTCTTCCTACATCCGAAAACACGTACAGTTGTTTTTTTGTGAAATAGAAAGCTAATTAGTAAAAGAACCTACAGCTGAAGCCTTGAGGAAGTTTACACACGGAAAAGTCCATTTTCCTTACTACTAGAGATTCTAGTCTAAATGTCTTCCTTTTCATGCAAGATAGAACTACGTGTGGGTGCCATTTGTGTAGGTGAAAACCACTGATAATCTGCCAGTACAAGCACTCAAATCTGTTGACAACGATTTTCACTAAACACCTGCTGCTAACAAGCTGTAAATTTCTATTCGCAACCTGTTTTAAAACTACAGCTTGAATACTGTTTCAAAGAGTTGCTGAATGTCATTTGAAAAGTACACCTTAAACAACTTCAAAAACTTAATCGCCGGCCAGCCACTAATTGTTGCGCAGTGGTTAGCGGTACTCGAAAATTGGCTCGATACCGAACTCGGGGAAAAATCTGCTATCCACTCCCTTGAGGTCGAAAAATGACAGATTTGCATAGGGAAATGAAACGCTAACTTCATGAAGTGAATCCATGGTGCATTTCGTTAAGATTTACACCGAATGCTCATGCCTTTGTCCATGCCAATGAATAGTTTATTAGTCTATTACTCAGCTGAACAGATCAACAACCCACAATGGATTATAATTTACTGAGGTGACTAATAGAATATACTCTTATACTAGTATAAGAAACCATGTAGGAACACAAATGTAAGAGCAGGTTGTCAACAAAAACCAGGCATCAACCGCCGATTTCTACGAGCTCAACTCCTGCAAGAATGGATAATTTCAGTCTACGAATAAACGCTTAGATGTACTTATGCGGAAAATGAGTTAGCGAAGAAACGCAAGACCCACCAACTGGTCGCGCGCTTGGCAGTAACGAATTCCACAGCTACGGCAAGGGGCGGGCGAATCGCCGTTCAATGTCCATCACACAGTCGACGCGATTCCGTTCGCGCTTTCTCATAAGCATTATGTGATTTCCAGCAGAAAAAGAGTGAAGAACTAACGAAAAGCGGAAGCTTAAGAGTTTGGGAATATTCATTAAAGTAGATAAGCAAGTAAGGAATGACCAATACCTTAGAGATGTTCCATGCCTTCAGCACCACTCACTAATCACTGTAGAGGTGAATGAATGCACATTTCGCTAACACATCAACTTGAGAATGCCTACCCGCTTGTCACAAAACTGTTTTTATTCTCTCAGATGACTATAATGCTAATTTGCCAACCCCAGAAGAATAGAGTATTTAGCGACCTCAGAATACGGTGACAAACCAAAAATATAGCAATTCCCAAGACCGACTTTCTGTTAACCTCGGCATTAATTGATAATTCAATGTTTTTCTTCAATAAGCAGACACGAGTTTGTTAATATAGAATTTATTAGAACACAATTGCTGACGTTTCGGCGGTTTCGCCTTCTTCAGAGCCTGGAAAGGTCAAATTGAGATGTGATCTACTCAGCCAAACACTTTCACAACCCTAGCAGATAAGACTTGACAAATCGATTTGCATTCGCATAAGAAACAGCTTCATTCAAACACCTACCGTTTATTTGTTGTAAGTATTTAAGTTAGTTGGTGGATAGCCGCCGCACAGAGTAATACATGGGCGATAACTGTGTCCATGTCAGGTCATTGGATCAGCCTGAGGTATGGCGCCAGGTCACGCGTGATGACAAGGCACTCCTTCTTGCGGTTCATTTTTGAATTTTTGGCATTAATCCAAAACGCTTCAAGAGTTTTACGCGCTGATGTTTTCGATTCCTGCGTAAGGATAGTGACTCCTACCTCAAAATCTTCTCCGTTGTGTTCTTGCATCCTATGCGCGCCTAGTGGAGTATTTTGTTTTAGTTTAGATTTACCGACAAGGTGTTCTTTTATGCGGACGCAGAGCGGTCTACCCGTTTCAGCAACATATTCGTGCCCGCACGCTTTACAAGAGATCAAATCAAAAACCAAAAATGCCTTTTATTCTAGGACACCTCTAACCGCTGCGCTACAGGTGCTTATGTAAGTAGATATGCTACTAGGTACTTAGATACTTGGATATCTCGTCCTCATTGACTGTGCGGGCCTCAGCACATTCTCCATTTTTCGGAGTTTTGCTGGTTTAGCCATTGCGGTTCGCTGGAATCCCGAGGTCAGCCTGGTCAAAGTCCTTGTGGATCAGAGGGCGATTTGCCACCATGCGGTTTTGATAACAGGACGGTGCAGGATCCTGGTATTGGTTTACTCTTAGCTAGGCTTCCTAATAAAAACGTCGAACTCCTTCTCAGCTTGGGAGACCACGCCAGGGGATGAGTTCCCGTTGCTCATCGCAGCCCGACACCCAGGAGCACCTCCCAGCTACGATGAGGCGGTAAACCGTTGGGACGAGATACACTATTAGGTGGAATTACCTGGAACGTTTAAGCTTTTTCAACTTATTCGTTCCATATTGTCTCGATCAATTCGTGAACCCTTTTTAAGGACATGAAGGTATTGTTGGAAACCCAACAGCGATATCTTCACGGGTTTTCCATTTTCGAACATAAGTGGTTCATTTCTGTATTAGTTTCATCTATCCACGAAACTGAAGCTACCAAAAAAATTTTTAGTTGACTCGAAATTGCACATCGTATTTTGTCGATCCCAGCATTCCATGTATTCGATTTTCATTCCTCGAATCCACCATCTACAAAAGTCTTCGAACGTCTTCTAGTTGAGTTGTGCCGTTAAATTATGGTCGAGTTGGCTCTTACTGTGCTGTTAGGATTGCCGTGGTAGGACGTTCCAACGTAAATTCCGGCAACACCGGTAGAAATTATCAGGCTCCAGAGAGAGAGGAGGATAGATGCACCCTGGTCGGGTCAAGCCAGCGCCTGAGTAGGTTGGTGCTACCGCCTATGAAATGGCATCACTAACACTGCGCTACCAGCCTTCTCAACTGAGATTGGTATACAGATGTTTTATGTTCCGAGTAGATTCATCTTTCTAGTCTAGTGGCGAGTGTTTACGAGAAACTATGTATATAACCTCTTGTAATCTCATCAATTTAAACGAATGTTGATTATTTTGCTACCGAGGTTAAATGATGGTCGGTTCGAAAATTGTTTTCCTATCCACTGTGTGCTAGCCAACATAATACCGACGGCTGTAGGGTGGATTATCCGTTGAAAAACAAATAGTTGTCAAGGGATAGTCATATTAGCAACAGCCGCCTTGTATAGAAGGGCACTGCCGAGTGGAGTTGCCTCATTATTCAGTCGGTGGTGCACTACAGAAGATCAGTCCCGATATGACTAAGAGGACGACACATCGAGACGACTAGTAACTATAGAACATCTACTCAGATGATCGACTCTGATGAAGACGAAGATGTGGAGACGTTAGCCGAATAAATCTGAGTATCAACCTTGTGTAATTCAACATTTTAAATACATATACGAGATAGGCGAAACGAAGGACCCGCATGGTGTGGTGGTGAATGCGTTACTCCC